TGTAGGTGGGTGCACACGCACATGTGTCACGCAGGCTCATGTACCTTTGAGTGCACAGGAGTGTTATATGCATAGGCAATGTACTTACATGAAGAATTGCATGACCCGCTAGGGGGGGGGGTCACCTCAAAATTTGTCCCTTTACGTAAGGTTTCTAGGCTTATATATAAATGGAAAGTTCTATTGTTATCAAAATGCCAACTTCTTAGCACTAATATGTAATCCTTCAAATTAACCTACTCAGTGGACTGACTTTTAGAATTGGGGGGATACTGGGAAGCCTCTATACTTACCAGGTTCTTTACATTAATTAAAATAATTAAAAAAATCTGTACATGTACAGTAGCTAATTAAGCCTGCTGAACTCAGATACCCAGTCCCATAGTCAGTAGTGGCAACAAAGCAAAATCATCTTTACTAGTAGATTGCTCCACAAATGATTAGTCCTGATATTTTTAATAAAAATGAATGCAGCATTTGAAATTTTTTTGAAACCAAGTAGCACAGGGCTACTGGGCATGATCCTCCTTGACAGTGCAGGTAGTACATATGAAGCTATTAAAGAAATTGGTTTTAAGTACGCCATGCCATCTGAGCAACAGACTGTATTGATCAAAAATGCATATACTGCTTGTGTAGAGAATTTATAGAAACAGACCTCCAGGTTTGATAAGGAAGGAGAGTGAAATTCAGCACAAACAAAAACTGAAAACTTGTCTGAAGTATTATATAACTAGAAGATAAAAACCATGCCTACCTCCAGTGTTCAGGCTGGTGGTACAATAATAAGGGTTTAGCTACCTAACACCATAGGACTGTTATCATACTATGTATTGTATATATCATACATGTATGTATGCTTTCTCAGTGTTATAGCCACACACACACACACACACACACACACACACACACACACACACACATATATAAGTAGGGTGTATTATGAGCCTTTTCAAAATAAATCAACAAAAGAATAGCTAACAGTCACACTCTCTATGCAGTTTGATTAATGGCAAGTCACCATGTCATGTACTAATCTCTCACTGAAATTCATCTTTGAATTACAGCAGTTTAAGTCTTGTTTATATTACTTGAGACAAGCAAAATATCAAGGAATGATAAAGATTTTTAAGCAAATCTTGTGACAGGTACTGTAAATTGCTTCTGTGTAGCTTTTGGGCTTCAATTGTCAAAGACATGCAATGATCACGTTACATCATCAAAATGTAAATTTTGCACAGTGCACACTCATATCTTTGTGGTAAATGTGGTTATACACTGTGACTATTATCATAATAGCAAAAACATGCATGTTTATGTATACTCATTTAAAGCCAATTAAGCAATATTCCAGATTGCATGATGAAAAAGATGTAAAAGGGAGATTAAAACATAATTAGTTTTCTGATTAAGGACGAGCCTGTAAGTAAATTATACATTACCCAAATACAGTCTTAACCATATTTTACCTGTGCCTTATAATCAGTTGTGGTCGGTGTTGCATATTTTGGTACTTTTGCAGTATCCCCACCACCTTATAAGTCTTTGGTTTTCAACATATTTCTAAACTAACTTACGTAGGTGGTGACTTTGAGCAATGTTTCTACTATTCAAATGAATCAGGTTGACATTTAACATACTGTTTTTTAAAAATATTTTTACTAAAAACTTCGAGCCCATCATGTTATGTGAGGGTTAGAGGATTCAGGTCATCCCAAGGGTGAAAATGTCAGTGGTCAAAAAACTTAAAAGTCAATATTATAAAAACAAAAAAAGGTTATTTACACACACACACACACACACACACACACACATTTGAAAAGCAGCTTGAGACATTGATCAAAATCACCACATATCTGAAATCTAAAAAACACTAAAAATGAGAGGTTTCTACTCGTGATATGTGAAGGGAGGAGATGCTAATTAGTACCCAAATTTCTATTAACCAAGAACACCGATGTGAATTCAATGACTTATTTGAATGTCCAGCAATCAATGGCTTTGTTTTCTTGTTATTCCATACATTTTCATTAAGACAAGACCTTGGAAACATTAAAAGGACCAACTCAATAGAAAGGGTTGCTAATATCTTAGTGTGGGTAGTACGCGCATCAGTGGATCAATGGAGTTAGTTACTCTAAATATGACACGGTCATCATTTACGTTGCTCTGCAAATAGCAAATTAGGGTTATGATAGTAATACAGCCTTAACCACACACATTCAAGTGTTGTTTATCCCTTCAAAAATTCACATATCCTGTACAAACTCTCAGAATGAAACAAGACGTCAAAATCTTAACCCCACTTAATAAATCCGTAGTATTCCTAACCTTCTATTACACCTGCCTATGTCCGGCTGAGTAGGCCTACTGTCACCACAAGAGGCGACGCTTTAAGACACCTTGCGTCACTTACCTGCGAAAACAATTAATCAAATCATCCTCCTCTGTCTTTGAAACCACACCTGTCAAAGGCTCACTAAGAATAAGTATTTCAAATTAATCACATCTACGTAAATGTGCGTAAATCTGGCAACGACTCTTACCTTGAATTTTATGAGATTACAGAAGTCGCCATCTTGCTTTTGTTGCACCTGGGCACTTGACCTACTTCCGGGAGAGAACGACGAAACAGGTGTGCGAAATGAAATTTACATCACATGTTCTTTACAGTTATTGACAATTTACTTTTTTGGGACCTTTACAAATGTTTACTATTTTTACGTTAATCACGTCAAATTATACCAGTATGTATATTTGATATTGACAGTTTATTCATTTAGATATTTTTTTCCCCTGAATTAGGCCCTATATGCAAAATTTTAAGAACGGATTAATAATATTTTAAAATGACAAAGATGGGGGGAGGGGGGGGTATTCTCGTCCAGATTATTAAGAATATATCAAGCAAAGTGCTTCCGACTGAAATTGTACGAAAATAGTCATAATAACAATAAAATAATAAATAAATATAAAACAAACAAGAGATCAATTAAAACACTTGTTTTTGATGTTTATTAAAATACTTTGTCCAGTTTTTCAGTTTCATTTTATTTTCCATAATCTAATTCATTACTTTGTTTATGATTTTTTCGTAAATAAAAATTAGACAGGAAAACATTGACCTACACCAGATAAGTACCATTCATGTTTACAGGGACTAATTTTGAATATAGGAATGGATTGGTAAATATGGAAAATTGTCGTTTACCTCAGAAAAATCCATTTTTGGCCAAAATGAACAGTTATTATCCCTTAAAATCGTCACATCTATGCAGTGGTTTTAGTATGCATGAGAATCATGCAGAAAGCACTTTTAATTTGTCATATACAATTCAAACTGCAAATCAATCTAATACCTAGCTAATTTAGAGATGCAGTGAAAAACAGAACAAGTATCAATTTATGTAAACCAAGACTATTTCAAAGCAGAGCAAGTCTGGAAGTATTAGGGATGCACACATTTCAGGGCACCCATTTTGGTGACTATACTGCACATCAGGGGTGGATCCAGGATTACTTGAAGGGGTGGGGGGTGGGGGGTCCACAGATGCTAAGCTGACTCTTACCCCCTCTACTTTGGTGTGGGTTTGGGGCCTGGTGAAGGAGGGGGGGGTGTCAGGATCTCCCTGGACCCCCACCCCCGCATCGCCACTGCACATGGTATGCAAGGAAGCCACATTAGAACTGATACCATACAATAAAATATATGAAATTTTTTTATAACATCAAGCATACCTATAATTTTATAACAAGTCCTGAACTATCAGATAAAGTAAGTCAAAGTTTTCATAAAAATATACAATTTATTTCTCCACAAAGTATTTGTTAAGATCCCTAAGGTATGGAGTGTACTGCTATATATAATCTAACAGTAAAGAGTTAATAATGCTGATATTGTAGAAGAGGAAAAAATGGTCAATATATCAATGCAATGACCAAATTATATAATCACAATGACTAATAGCGATAATATATCCACTGTAGCATCACACCATATACTTGTAATGTTCAAAAATATTTCCAAAATGTACACAAAGAAATAGACCTTGCTCTGTTCAAGAGAGACAGACCAAGAACTTATCAAAACTTCTTTTAATATTGATATTGCAAATATCTAAATATTGTTGTGATATTTAGTGATCTTTTAACATAAAAATAAGTTTTTGTTGAAGAAAGATTTCATATACTTTGTTAAAAATCAAGCTGTTCCTTTTTTATACAAATAATTACAATATTGGCTTAATGTTTTTTTTTTCCACAAAATTTTCATTTTGTTTTAATTTGCAGGATTAACTTACTGAATATGTAATGTAACAAACTTGGGAAGCGATGCATCACATTAGCCTAAGTGGGACATTGAGCATCATAAAAATCTTAAAGGTGATTTGTGCTTTTTGTCATTTTCTCCTGATTATCATAAATCCATAATAATGGCACATCTATACAAGATTATCAGTGAAAAACATATATTAATATCAAAAACTCAGTGATCTCCATTTACATTACATTTACTCACACTTCTAACCCATGTAAGTTATTGAGGTAAAGCTCAATCCACAATATCCTAATCTTGCAAGGGAGTTAAGTTACATTGGTTTCAGTCTTAAGGAAATTCAATACTAACCACAGCACTGTTATCTTAACCTATAAATATCATACATAAGTGAATGTTGCATTGGTGTGGGACAAATTTTTCTTCCAGTCTTCTTAAAGCTTTTATATTTATACAATATCAATAAAATTTCCATCTGAAGATGTCTATATAAATGCTACATGACATACATTTAAAGCCAGAAGGAAAAAGCATCAACATGTCTTATATACTGTAAAATATATTTTTATCTTCTACCTTTTTCTGAACCAAGATAAAAGTTCTTGGAATGTTGAGTACACCAAGGAAGCCAACATAGACGTATTTCTAGGATAATGTAGTAAAACAAACTGCAAAGTGCTATTTTGGATTTTCGTCTGGAATCTTCATATCAACTCTACTGTTACATTGACAGATTTTTCCTAACAATTTATCAGTAATTAATACAATAAAAATATTGTTATTCTGTGTTAAATAAGCTCTTCAGATCATACTTGTCTTCAAATTTTTTTGTTTGTTGTATTTGCCTCAGACCTTTTTATTCAGTCTATTAATCCAGTTATATGTGTTAACTACTGTGTAACAATACAGTCTCATGGTTACGTCTTCCAAGCTGTGCAGCCTACAAGTTAATCAATTTTTAATTTTTTTTTTCTATTGTTAAATCACCAACAAACAAATCAAAAATTGGTATGACAGTTCTTTGAGGAATATTTTATGTACAAGCATGAAGGATCAAGCTTCTGCAAATGGCAACATCAGCACAAACTATCTTCAAACAGTAGGACCAACTCTTTATGTAATAGCGTAACATTTTATCTGGAATTATTTAGTAAATAGGAATTCAATTTTTCATCAGAGCTGGAAGACTGCACCCATACAAGAACAATTATTTTGTATGGGTTTGATATATCACTTCGTAATAAAGTTTCATCATAACGACCAACATCAATTCTGCTTTGTGCGAGATATACTCCCTCCAGAGTTTTGCCTCATCTGTGGAATGATCATCAAGAATTTTTATGCTCAAAAAATCTTTGGTCTCATAAATCTGTATTAGCGACTAAAACATCAGTGTCGTAATCGTTTTCCGTTACTGAAGGACAGAGTTCTTTATGTGGTATATGGACTGTGATCTCTGATGACTGGTTGTCTGCTACCCCATTGGAGTGAGTGGGGCTGGTCATGTCCTTTTTTTTAGGGGGTTTAGCAGGTTCTAATCCTGTTATATTGTCATACATTGGGTTAGAGAAATTGGTCGGTTTGTTGTAGTCTTCAAAATTCTCCGTTTTGTTGTACTCTGGTTCCATTGCATCCTATGAGAAAAAAGATGAGCACTTTAGACCAATGAATAAAAAGAAAATTTCCAGTTAATGAAGCATATATATATATAAAATATGTTGTCACAGGCAATATGCAAAAAAAGAAAAATAAATAAATAAAAATAAAAAATACTGAACACTTTAAAGTTCCCAATCTTCTGTCTTTTGTCTCTACTGAGTATCCAAACTAAACCCTCAAATCTTTTACTGATCACATTTCTATACAACATGTGACTATGCTTACCCCATTCTGTGCCACAGAGCTGTCATATACAAAGTCTGGCGTGCTGATGGCCACATCATTGCCTCCATGGAAAGCCACCGTTCCTGCAGGTGCCCCGGGTCTGAACTCGCCCCCACCAGTAGAATGCAGGGCCTTGTTCATACTGAAACCATAACAACAACTATTTCGATATGCAGGGGAATCATTTGATGTAATTACTAAAATACTGAGGTTGGATTATAAATATCAAATGCATCTTTTTTTGAAAAAATTGCTGCAATAATTATACCTTATGTGCCTTTAAGATAAAAAACAGTTTAATTCTGAATACCTTTTTTCCTAGGATGCATTTGATGTCATCCAAGATAGCTTAACAATTAAAAAAAAATCTGTGTTTGTGTGTGTGTGTGTGTGTGTGTGTGTGTGTGTGTGAGAGAGAGAGAAAGAGAGAGAGAAATCTTACCTTCTTCTTCTCAGAAATAGGAAAACAACAATAATGACCACTAATAGGATGACCACAAGTATAATGGGGACCACAATGGCAGCTGTTTCTGAAATAACACATTTACTGGGAATGTTTCAACTAAGAAAGGGAAATAATTAAGTAACAGGGACTTATTTATAATGACAAAAAATGCCATACAGCAATTTGACAAAAACAACCAATACTGACATAAGATGAATATACTTAGATGCAAAATGTTAGAAGAAACTTCCTATGAGATATGACAATCAACAAATTGTAAATTTTAAGCAAATACAGATTTTCAAATTTGACCTCAAAAAGGATCTTGAAAATGATTCTGTGTATGGTTTACTATCAACTTACGTGAATTTGCATCAGCTCCAGTGAATGCTGAAGGCTCCTTTTCACAGTATTCCCCATAATAGTCTGAAATTTGATCAAATTTATTCAAATACAGAGTGACAAAATTATTGACTTTAAATAAAATAAAAAAATATATATAACCCCACTATTTTAAATGAAGGCAAGCCAGGCTGCATTTTTCTTGAATACCAATTCATTAACTCGGGCAAATTTCAGAAGATATACAGCCAACATACCACAGCAAACCCTGGTTCTTCTAAACTTCACATTTTGCCATGATTGCATTTTTGATTTGTAAAGTCATCGGCTTGGCAACAACTGTATTTCCTCTTCCTGTTGAGGTCTTCATAAATGTGTTTGCTGTGCTTTGTGATAGTTGATACAAATTACATTTTCACCTCAATTACAACAACATTTTCAACTTTTGTCATTTTTTTCCCTAGCCAATATACTTACTATTCAAGCACAAACACACCAGTCCACCAGTTTCTGGATCTAGCTTACATTTGCCACCATTCTTGCAAGGACATGTCTGACTTGGGGTGGGTTTTACTGTCTCCTCAGCTAAAAAATACAATAGACAATTAAATTGTGTTGCATTTCTCTATAAAGAGAATAAGTAACAATTACATCATGTCTCAAAAGCGAAAATCACACACGTCATTTACATTATTCTTCCTCACCTGCATCACAAATAGTCTTGTTGGCATCTTTGAAGTCAGCGCCATCTGGGCAGACACAAGTGGCACCACCTGGTGTCAGTAGACATAGAGGCCAGCAGCCTTTGCTGCTGCATCGATTTTTTACTGCAATGAAATTATTTTTAAACCATTGATTAACATGGCGACCATATGTACATGAGTACATGTACTGCAAAAATATTCCCATCTATTTTTTTCATATTCTACATCTATTATTCAATTAAAAAATTTTCTATCAAATTTAAGAAATATATCTTTGACACATTCCAAAATTTCTGTTTTCTCTTTGGTCATAACCAACATATATAAAAGTTACATAAAAGCTGCAAAAATAAATAAATAAAATATTAAAAATAATAATAATTGCAGACTTTCTTACTTGCAAGATCATATCTATTCTGTTGGAATACTTTAATGTCTGTCGGCATGAGTAACCCTGACTGGAGAGTTCGGTTGATACCCCGACCAAACTTATCCATCTCCATCACCTTCCCCTCCTGCTGGGACACCCAGTACATGCTGCTCTCAAATACATCCATGCTAAATGGGTGATTCAGGCCTGTGATACAAGAAGAGAATATTGTTTCTTGTTCTACAATGTAGGTGTATAAGGCAGTCAGTGATACTGCTTCAAGGTAACATACCTATAGAAATTGTTATAAATAATAAATATGAAGCACTGGAAACTTACAAGAAATGTTATCATATTTTTAGCTTTGCTTGAGAAAGAAGTTTCACATTAAGCATTGGAAAAGCTGGGACTTTCAATACTTCGATCAATTTTTTCTTTTGAACCTAAATCCTCAGAAATAAATGGCAGCACTATACGTTTAATATTTTTGGATTATAACATGCCTGTAAGTAATAAATGATGCTATGTTATTTCATATTAAAATATTTTTACATTCTTCATAACTTACCTACAGAAACCACCACTACTCTTCCAGTGCCATCAGCATTCATGGATTCTATTTTGTTCTCCTTGGAGTCACACCAGTACACTCTGTTATTCATTGTATAGTCTATAGTAATACCAGTGGGATTGCCAAGACGCTGGTTGATTAAAATGGAACGATTTCCTCCATTCATCCACGCAGCTTCGATTCTTGGACTACTACCACCAAGATCAGTCCAGTACATCCAACTGTTATAGAACAGATACAGAATGGTGGTTGAGTTTGATATTTCTTTCAAATATCTGTTGCATACAACTCAGATATAGGCCTAAAATTAAATATTTTTTTTGATAATGAAATCAAAGAATATATAAGTTATCTATAAGGAATAAATGACTGAAAGATACTAATTCCTACCCTAGAGAAGGGTTCACAGCAATAGATGCTGGATGAACCATTCGATCTTTGACCAATGTTTTCTTGTAACGGCCATCAGATGTTACAACATAAATCCCTCCTTTTTTGGCATCTGTCCAGTATAAATTTCTGAAAGAAAAATAAAATTAACTTTGAAACAAAAACAAAGTCAAATGGATCTGCTTGTATATGTCAATGTTGTATGGCAACTTATTATAACAAAATAAAGTAATTCACACTTAATGCATGCACAGTAAATTCACTATACCAAATCAACTTGTGAAAGAAAAAAAACTTTTAATTTGAGAGCAAAAGAGTCAGATAAATTCTGGTGGAAAAAATACCACTGAGCTACAATGTGAAAGCTTTACAGGCCCATAGCCAGGGGGTGTTTTGAGGGTGTTTTGAACGAACCCCCTTTTTACACACACAGGTTTCATGATAAAAGGTACAGTTTTTTCCCAAAATAACCCATTCTTACTGGCCAAAGGCCTGTTTTATATAGCCAGTCTGTCCCAATAAAGGGGTTTCCAGTTTTTATTCCATCAGAGGCACCATCTATAGTGGTGAAACAAGATCACATGGCATGCTCAAAACTGACTGTATACCAATAAAGTTCAATTGTAATTATTTGCACCAGAAGGTTTTACATATTTTTTTCTCTCATGACATTCACAATGTCAACTCTTATTTCCTTGAGCAAAAAACATCTCTAGATAATTATTTATCTCCTTACTTGGCAACCCAGTCAAAAGCAATGCCCTCAGCTTGTTCTATGCCTATGATTTGGAGATCTTGAGCATGGCCCTGTATGGTAGGGTCATCGGGGATATAGGCACGTTTTAAAGTTTTCAATGAGCTGTCACTCCAGTACACAGTTCTTCCAGCAGGATCAAAATCAATGGCTTGTACCCTCTGTTCTGTCATGATGGTATCTATGTATTCCATGTTCTTCACATTAGGTCTGAACTGACGGATTTCATGACCCGCTGAGAAGAGGAATACTGATGCAGCACCTGAGATAAAGAAAAGGATAAAATGTTTATTTTAGATAGAAACAGTAATGCCTTCATTACTTAATATCTTCTTGAAAAACTATAAACAAATACTGGGATTTTCTTTCATTTACTAAAATATTAAAACAGTAATAACAATAGTAGTAGGGATTTCATATGACTAAAATTATCTTTCCTCTATTTTTAAACTCACCAACATTTGGAATGGAGTAATTTACATTGAAAAACTTTCTTGCATAATTATATACTCTCAAACTTCTTTTCTTACCTGTCCCCCGGCATTTTGTGCCCCTGCTACTTGTATCTGTGAACCCTGCAGCACACTGGCACTTGTATGTTCCTTTAAGATTGGAACACTGCTGAGGACAGTTGTTACCCCAAGATGCACATTCATCCACATCTAAAACCAACATGTAGGAAAATAATCCAAGGAACAGTCCAAAAAACTTTCATAAAATCTGGCTTGTTTCATTTGACAGATACTTGACTCATTAATGTTCCACCATAAAAGGACATTTAACTAAATTTCATTTGAATAATAAAGCAAAATATTGCCCTGCTCTTGAAAGTATCAAATTATTTTTGTTTTGTTTTGGAAACTTATGTTTTATATCACAAAGATCTTTTTCACAATAAAAAGAAAAAAGTCAACAAACTGAACCCCACCATCACAAGACTTCCTATCTGTCAGTGATATTTTGTAACCATCAAAACAGGAACAGAGGTAGCCTCCTTGGCTTAACATGGTACAGTTCTGTTCACAACCACCATTGTTTATGTCACATGTGGCGCCATCTTTATCTAATTTTTAAATAAATATACAAATTGGATGATTCATCAGCATTCAAGGTGTTTGATTAAAAATATGATTGTAGATCAACAAATGATTGTAGATCAACACGTGCTGTTTATACACGAGTAACTCACATTAGGTCATTAATTAATATGTATGTAGTATGACAAAATATACATTTTACATGATATCTGATAAAACATGATTACATGATATTTGTTCAAACAAATATTACACTTTGAAGACTGCTCTATCATTTATTTCATAATATTAATAAATTTGCATAAGAAAGATCTCAAGTTCTTTTCAATTCTAAACATTTTGTTTCCATCTTTCTTCATTCTTTTTATAAAATATAAGGTACATTTTTGGAAATCAAAACTTACGACATCCATTTTCATCAGAGCTGTCCCCACAGTCATCAACGTTATCACATATTTTGTCTGCTGTCACACATTTCTTATTTTCACATTTATACTGCTGCTCTGTACACTGTGCTGGTGGAGGTGTGCCTGTAATATGGAACAAATTATTATTTCAATTTATTTTTGTCATTTTTTAAGTAATCACATCTGATTTTTGAATACCACACTTTCAAACAGAAAATATATCCTCATAAATACAAAAGTTGTTCTTATCTGTAAAGTTACAATCCAGAATGAACCACTTATTGAATAACAATCTCTTAAAATACTCACACAGATCGTGATTGTTTTCATCGGAACCATCTCCGCAGTTGTCAACTTTATCACACAATCGCCATCTTGGAATGCACTTGAAGTTGTCACACCTGAAGCGAGTTGTCTCGGGACATTGAATTGAGGCGCACACTTGAGGACGCTCGTCTGAGTCGTCTCCACAGTCATCGTCCCCATCACATCTCCATTCGTTAGGTATACAGATCTGAAAATATAAATATTTTCTAATTATGGAATATTTCAATAAGTATGAAACATTCATTTACGATCTTTGATACACTAACTACACAACCAAGTTTCCTCCTTCTTCATGGTAAAAATATTGTATTATGAAGACTTCATGTATGTTATAGAGTTTGTTCAGTAATTATCCACAGAAATTATTTTTAAATACATAAATGGGGGCCCATTGCCAAAAATATACGGCAAATTTACTATCTGTTATAGCAGGAAACTTTAATTGTGAAAACCCATACTACATACTAAAATATAATAGCCTGTTTAAGAAGGCAGACATGTAGCTGTAATGATGTAAGTTGTCATAGGCACCACATACACAACTATTATTTTCATAATGGTGATTCACAATGACATGTATCAAAACATATGCAATAATGCATCCCAATGTCCTCATACTTACAGTATTGTCACATCCAAACACATTAACAGGGCAGTAGCGTCCTGGGAATCGTGTTGTACAGTTGGTCTCGTCAGAAGTGTCCAGGCAGTCGCGCACTCCATCACATATAGCTGCTTTACTGACACAGTGACCACTGTTACAACTGAACTGGTCTTCCATACAAGTATATTCATCTAATAATAATAATAATAATGATAATAATTTTAATTCTAATAATAGTAATTTCGAAAGCATTCCTACAGATCTTAAGGTTTTGTACATTCTGACTTTTCTCCCAAAGTCAGGAAAATATTCTGAATTCACATTATGCATAAAACAGGAGTCTAGCAAATTTCACCAAAAATTATTATTATTAGGAAATTTTAAGCTTTACAGAAAATAAAATCCTTACGTTTGCACATCTCAACATCCTCATCAGAGTTATCTCCACAGTCATTGTCGTGATCACAGCGCCATCTGCCTGGAATGCATTTGTTGTTCTTGCAGCGGAACTCTGACTCTGAGCAATCTCTATACAGGGAGGCTAAAAAGTAAGGAAATATACGCAACATAATATTACCACAATAATTACTTTTCTAAATGTCATATTACATAGGCACTTACAATTTTCACTCATAAATAATTTAAATTGAGGCACACCTGGTCAATTCAAACATATATTTTTAACAGATCTTTATTTTAAAAAGGTTGCCAAATGTAAACCTCAAGGGGCATTATTTCAATTTTTTTAAAAGGCAAAACTTAAATTCAAACATTGAAACTTTTTCAGGTTTGTCACCACAATATTGGACCCGTCTCTAAATCTACATACCACATAAGGCAGGGTTTTCATCAGAATTATCACCACAATCATTGTCAAAGTCACATCTCCACCTGATGGGTATACAGCGGTTATTACTACATGAAAAGTCTCCAGTTGGATGACATGCTGGGCAGTTCTCGGACAGCTCATCAGAGTTGTCATGGCAATCATCACTACCATCACAAACAGCCCACATTGGAATGCAACGATAATTGGTCTGGCAGTTGAACCATCCTTGCAGACATGGTCCCTCCTCTGAAATGTTTTTGTTTTCTTTTTAATATTAATTCTGTTATGTTTATCATATATAAACAGGAAATGAGGTTTTTGTAGAGAGAAATGAAGAAACAAATAAAAGAATATAAATACATAAGCTAAGACAGTTTAAACAGAAAATGATGAGATCATCAACTCTTTTAAAAGAGTGAATTGATTTCATGTTTCCAAAGTGGTTTGCTTACAAATTATACCAATAAAGGTATCTTAATCAGAATACTTGTATATCACACAACATTTGTAAAGGTTCATTAATGCTCACCACAGTTTAATTCATCTGAGCCATCTCCGCAGTCATCGTCCACATCACATTTCCAAGAGGCAGAAATACACCGACCATTGGTACACTTAAACTGATCTGCTTCACATGTGCGCAATTCTGAGGAAAAAAAAACACACTGCTTGTGGACTTCTGCTCATAACAGGTAAGTTATTACAATTCATATAAACTATCAATCCAATATCCAAAATGAAACTTTTGAAATGCAGGCATTTCATTACCTAACAGACAGTACAAAAAATCCAATAGTTTTTATATAATTAAGCTGCTTACCACAATCAGGATTAGCTGGTGTTTCATCTGAGCCGTCTCCGCAGTCATCAGCATTGTCACACACCCAGCTACGTGGTATGCATTTATTATTGGAACATCTAAATGCATTCGGGTCGCACTCTTTTTGGTCGCAGTCACGCTCGTCAGATCCGTCTCCACAGTCATCCTTCTGGTCGCATACTTGGAATGGGAAGGTACAGTTCAAGTTGTCACACTGGAACTTGCCGACTGGACAATGACGATCAGCTAGAAAATATAAAATGCATATCTTATTATTTGTTTATTGTTATTTGTTTATTTTGTGAAATGTCCTTAAATGCACATTCTTTAAGATATAATTTATCAGAGAAGAAAACTTATATGTAAAGTAATGAAATTAATGTTATACTCACGACAATCTGCTGGCTCATCAGATCCATCATTGCAATCCTTTTCCTTATCACATTTCCATATGAGAGGTATGCAGCGGTCATCAGTGATGCCACAGCGGAACTGGCGGTCAGTACAGTTAGCAATACAAGTCTTGTTGTCTGTGGCAAGCAGGAAGTAGTCTGGACAGTCACACCTGAATCCAGCGCCCCCTGGTGTGATGAGGCACAAGTGAGAGCAGCCACCATTGTTGTCCCCACAGGGGTTTGGACCTAAAACACAATGTACATTAGGTAAGTCTGTAAACAATGACAACAACATATTTCATGTATCAAGTGGCACGTTTCTCATAACTTCCATGCAATTTGGTATCCACAGATGTCCCCACATACCTACATTGTAATATTCTATTGCAATCACTCAATTTCTAACATTCTGTAAGGACAAAATACTTAAATTTCTTTTAATGTTAAAATCCAATTTTACAAAATGAATTCATTTTAAGCAAAAGTGAATATTTTCCACTTTATGTCTAAACAGTGATTTATTGGCAAAATTTAATTTTTATGAAAACTAATTTCTTTCAGTACCTTGTTTCTGTTGCAGAGGGTGCATGACCTTTAGGTCCATGGGCCTGTGGATTGTGTTGACCAGTGACGTCTGGTTAGCGCCTGTGTACTTGTGTGCTTTTTCAATACTCAAATGGTTCCAGTCGGTCCAATATATCCAGTCTTCAAACACAGCAATGGCAAATATGTGGGCTATTCTTACTCCTGATATGACCAACTGTCTGTTGCTGCCATCAAGGTTGGCATACCTGAAATATAATGTGCATGTGTATTAGATTTCATGTCATTTCATATGGTTGGAACAAGAAAAAGCTCCAGAACCTGCAGTGAGATGTATATGTCATAAGCATATATAAACAAATATCAGTTTAGCTACATTTTTCTAATTGTGAAAATAAGAGAATATTCCATCACATTTTCTTGGAAAACTAATAACTAAAAGCTGAGACTAACTCAATGTAATCCAGATGTGCATCAGCCCACCACATCTTCCTGGTGACATAGTCGATGGTCAAGGAATTAGGCCAGCCCAGTTTCTCCGTGATCACAGATGACCGGTTGGTGCCGTCCATTCCTACACGAGCAATGTAAGGGATATGACCCCAGTCTGTCCAGTAAATATATCTGGAATAAAATGCTTAGCATGTTACACATATTTTAGATTAATAATATCAAACATCAATATGCAGTAACTGACTTTTTACCAGGCCATTATTATCTATTAACAAATTTTAAATTTATTCTTTTTTTATAAATTATTTGGATCATAATTTTATTCACATCGTATACATAAAGTTCTCATTAGAACACTCTCTTCCATGTTATGTCAAAGCAATATTTCTTCTAACAATGCATTTGAAGTCAATTTTTGGCCACAAAAAGCCAACCAAATGCCACCATACAGTTTGAAATAGTAAAACTTAGAGAAATACAAAAGGACATAGTTTTATGTTAATGGAAAAATGGTATTTAAACAGTTTTTTCTGCTTACTTTCTGTGCTGTATAAAACGGGGGGGGGGGGGGGGGGGTTATCCCTTGGCAGTTTATCCCCTGGCATGTCAAATATATTTGAGTGGTATAAGAAACTAGTAGAAGTATAGAAGAAGTAATATGCATTACTGGGAAACCACACTTGCTTCATATGTAACTTTCAAGTTTCTCTTACCCTGTGGAGGGGTCAGCAGCCACTGCCCTTGGGTTGGACATCTCAGTGGACAGGAGGGTCTTACGACTGGTGCCGTTCAACTCCGACACAAACATCTGCTCCAGCTGGTAGTCAACCCAGTAGAGCTTTCTGGAAAATTACAAAATTGAAATTGTATTTTCCTTTCTGGACAAATCTAAAAGAAATTCATGACCAAAATATTCAAATATAATTGATACTCAACTTATAGAAGGATTATGTCTTTTATGAAAATAATAATTTGGTAATGAACTCTATTCCATGTAAAACATGTATTAGATCTAAAAGAATTACTATCAAAAACATTAAGAATCAAGGACAAACTTTATGGCAAAACTTCTTAATAAGCTATGTTTTAAAACCATCTCAATGTCTAACTCTTGGGGGAAAAGAGCATAAACATCATCACTGGTCCTGGACAACTAGATTGCTCAACCTTGGTTTTAAAATGGTAAGGCATGATATCTTATCCAGCTATCCAGTAACATCAGTATGTCTATTACCAGCACCAGTACCTTCCGATCCAATCAACTGCCATGCCCTCACCATTTGGCACGTTATGGCGGATAATCACCTCCACATCGGAGCCATTAGTGTGCATACGGTATATCCTGTGGGTAGTGACATCAATGAAGTAGACCATATCTTCCTTGACATCGAAGTCCAAGGCTACTGCACTGCCCAGGCCTTGTTTTACTAGCTGGTAGTCTTGACCATCCAGGGACAGCTTCCTGATGTAATAGCGGTTGGTAAAGACAATGTAAGGCTCAATATCTGAAAAGAAAAAGAAAATTGACTTAAGATTTATCAAAAGATGCAAAGCAGAAAACTGAATATCTTCACTTAAAGATGAGTAAATAATGTATTTCAAAATAAATTTATCACAGCAGAATTAATACAAAAATGGATATTTGAAATTGATTCAAAATTATAAGGTTTCTCATTGCACCATGCACCAAGACCAAATGATTTGCCTGATAGAAACTTTACTAGTAGTCAATTTGACTCCTTAATTCAAAGGAGTGACAAAGAATTGAAAACTTCAGTACTGGTAAAACAAACAGTACAATTACAATAACAAAAACTGCCATCAAGAGCAAACCCTACTACTTACTGTCTCTTCTTTTGCAGGTCCGCCTATCAGCTGTCTCTAGGTAGCCATCGACACACTTACAGTGGTAAGAGCCAACAGTATTCTCACACAACTGGCTGCACACCCAGGGAGTCTCTTCACATTCATTGATATCTGCAACAGAAATAAAATATCTTAATAAGAACTTTTTGAATACAGCATATAATGTAATTTGCACTTGATTTTATGTGATGGCCAATGAATTCTTGCACATAAGTATGACTTAAGATTTGATGAATTTTTTTCTTCTGAACAGTATCTCTTTAACTGTCAATTTTTCAAAATGTTCATAAAAAATATATTGATGAGAATTACCTTATAGTATAATCTGAACTCACTCACACACATGCATGCCCATAAATGCACACAAGCAAATAATTTATATTTATATTATTATATCAAATGGAAATCATCACTGTAGTTCTTACCTCTGCAAGTCTTTCTGTCAGTTCTAAGAGTGTACCCTGTGCGACAGGTACAGTGAAAACTGGTCACCGTGTTCACACAGTCATGTTCACATTGGTTTGACACTACCTCAGCACATTCATCCACTCCTAATTAAAATGCAACACAGAATTGAAAATAAATAAATGAATAAAATCACTCAGCTCTTCAGGCTTTTAAGACAATTTATGTGCTGGGCAATCCTTCTTATCTTATACAGGATATAATGTGGTAATAAATGTTCATCTTACTTTTTTACCATAAGGTTTAATAAAGAAATAGTTTTATCAATTTGAAGGCCAAACCAGATGGAAATAATACAGCAGTAGAGCTATATGACAGCAATATGGAAATACTTCACAAATCAGACAAATGACCATCTTGAAAAGGAATAGGAAGTAACTTGCCACAATGTTGTTCATCTGACATATCAGGGCAGTCATTGACTTTGTTGCACACAAACTGGTACTGTATGCAGTCTCCATTGTTACATCTAAACTGGCCAGCTGGACATGTAGGGGCAGGGGTCACTGGAAGAGAAAACAGCATTAACCATCTTAAACTGCAACCCTATTGAAATTTTAAGACAAACTCATCAATAGCACTTGAGTTGAAGATATGTGAACCACATCAAAATTAAATATGTAATGTTCACAGGGCTGTTTTGTTTATCATTCACATATATGATGAGACATTTCCTTAAAGAGGTGAAATATGTGTTTTATCAGATTAAATTGATAAAATTATATTCTACATGTTCTTCACATTTCACATCTAATTTCTCCTGCATACGTACAACACATGGACTCCTGTTCATCAGAATTGTCCAGACAGTCATTATCTCCATCACAGACCCAGCGCTGTGGTATACATCGCTTATTGTTACAAGTAAACTGCTCTGCTGAGCAGGTCGCATGGGCTGAAAAAAATATGGGAGCAATGTACATGTCTTTTTCTTTAGTTAATGCATATTTTACTTTTTTCACAGTGTTAACAATTCAAGTGAAAATGAGGTCATTACGGATTCAGGGCAGTACATGACATGTAAGGAAGACAAATGGCAGTCTAATCCAATCATGATTTATTTATCTTATTAGAAATGGTACAAAAAATATAATCCAAATTGCATGGAAGAGTTTAGAAATGGTTTATGAGTAGGAGAAAATTGCTTTTTTATGAAGAGTTAATTAGATTTGGTGCCAAAATCCCAGTCAGGATACCTTCCATACAGTTGGATACAATTTCAGTACAATTCAGCATTTCTGAAAAAACTGTGTACAATTAAGCTGTCACATAAACAATGAAGCACATACTTACTGCAATTAGAGGGTTCATCAGACATATCCCCACAGTCATTGTCATGGTCACACACCCACCCTCTATCTATACACACTCCATTAGAACATGTAAACTGGTTCTTAGGACACGTCCCTGGTGGACAACCAGCTTCATCCTCGCCTCCTATGCAGTCACTCCGCCTGTTACACCTCAGGGCCAGCGGGATACAGGAGTAACGACCAGCATCACGATTGGATTGACAGTGAAAGGTGTCTGGTGGGCATGTTCGGTCAGCTGATCAATGAAATAATGAATGACAAGGTTGGGTTTATGGCCAGATATAGCATTATGAAATAAAATTAAATATGATATTATCAGTTTTTTTTTGTATTTTGAAAAGAATGTTATACAGTTACATTTTGTTATACAGTTTGTTATGTACATTTAAGCTTTTATAAAATAAAAATAAATTCCGACTATCCAATACAAACAAGATCAGCTTCATAATCAAAATGGATTTGCTGAATCCTGAAATGATTTTACCTCCCCGAGGAGCAGGTTCATGACATATATACTAGTAATCTAATTACTTACAAAGTTGACTAAAACACTTGATACATTCCTATGCAATACTTGGCATTAATTCAACAAGATTCCTTTTCTGAAAAGCTTTAGTTATTTGGTTTTGTTTATAAATAATCAATCATTAAAGCGATAGAATATTTACAGCTCTGTATCCAAAACTTAACCTTAGGTAATCACATAAAATAATCAACCATTTCCCCCATCAATAACCAGAAAAAATCCTACAAAGATAATAAAAGAATCAGAAGTCACATCTTGAGTTGATATGCCTATCTCCTCCATTGACCCACTTACCACAGTTATGTCTTGCCTCATCTTCATCAGATCCATCTTGGCAATCATTGTCACCATCACAAACCCAGCGTATTGACACACAGCGGCCATTGTCACATGTAAACTGGTTGCCATAACAAGTCCTGTTTGGGTGATCTAAATAAACAAGTTGCAAAAAAGATTGACTTAATTCTAAAGTTTGAAAACAGTCATAAGCTAAACAATGTTTAAATTGATGAAAAACGTTTGCTACCTATGCGGCAGTTGCCTTGATGACTGGATTACCAATATGAGCTCCAGAACTGAGAAAGTCATCATTGCTTTTTATCATTACACAAAGAACAAAGAAAACTGATTTCACCATTCCTTGAAATCAATAAAATACTATGTATCATAATTCTTATTAATTTGTAATTATATATTACCCTACCTCTATGAAAAGTGTGACACCATTTTCTGTACTTACTACAATAGTCTGCCGGTTCATCCTCTCCTCCAGGACAGTCCCTGTCCCCATCACAGTGCCAGTTAGCAGGCAGACAGCGACCAGTGGAGCAGCGGAAATCTCCTGAGGAAAATAGAAAATAGTGTATTATCCTTAAAAAATATAATTAAATAACTTTGGTATAACAAATAAATATTTAAATGAAAAAAGCTCAATGAAAAAAGTTAACGCAAATGCAAATTGCAACTATTTTCATTTGCAAAATCTAAATATGATTAAATATACATTTTTTTATGAAACATATTTTAAATACATTCACTCACAGATATCAGCAAGAAAAAATTTCCAGTGGTCAAGAATAAAACTTGTGAAGAAAAATAACTGAACTGGAAAAAAAAAGCTGCACAGTGTTCTGCTTTGGTAAACATACTTTGAAAATAATCAAATATTATCAACTGCCTTCCTTTACTTACCCTCCAGACAAGGCTCACTGGCACAGAAAGTAGGGTTTTCATCTGAGCCATCAGTACAATCATTATCACCATCACACAGCCATCTTCTGCTGATGCAGACATTGCTGTTTGCACACTTGGCCATCCCTGGGGCACAAGTTGTTGGTGGGCAGCCATGTTCATCAGTGGCATTACCGTCATTACAGTGGTCTATTTCGTCACATACTTGAGCCTGCGTGATGCAACGGAAGTTGGCACATGTGAAAGAGTCTGGTGGACAAGTTGGAAATGCTGAAAATGACAGCAGGTAGCTATATAAAACTGTTTCAATAGCAGTATATGAATTGACTGTGCAAGTTTTTCAAACACAACAATATCTGTATAAAAAAGCTGGAACATAATTTCATATTTTGTTATCTAACACAAAAGTTGATATTTTCTGGGTTAAATTCACCCAAATCTTGTCTCTAAATTCCTGAGCACACTTTGATAAGCAATTTTTACAGATTCAGAAAAACTTGACAACCCATTTCTTTGATATCCCTCTTCATTCTGAGTGATACTTACTACACCCGTCCTCATCACTGTTATCTCTACAGTCATTGTCATGGTCACATCTCCATGATAAGTTGATACAGCGGCCATTACCACATACAAACTTATGTGGAGGACATGTATGATCGGCTGGAAGTTAATAAAAAATACATCTTTAACCAATCTATATTTTTTTAATTAAGTAATGATGATTTACATTTAAATTCTTGCATCAGCTGCAGCAAAAGTAAGACTTCTTCCACCCACACATCTTTACACTGAGCAAGAGAAAAAAATCTAGCTGAAAGTCTACCTCTAATCAAACACATACAGATAATTTTTTTTAAAATTCAATAATATTTGCAAAAATCCAAAAGACAATGATACCTGACTATGTTCAAACTTTATACAGTAAGAACAGGTTGAAACATAAGAAAAACAAACAATTGCTATTTAAGATGCCCAATGAAATATTCCCACGTTGACCAAGAGCTGCTATCACTGATGCACAACTCACCACAGAAATTTGGATTTTCATCAGAGAGATCCCCACAATCGTTATCCAAATCACAGGCAAATTCTGGTGGCAGACACTTCCCATTCATACAAGTGAATCTATCAGAGGCACATGTGGCATTGGATGGCACACACATTTTGTTATCATTGGCTAACTTGGTATTCGTGAAGTCGTCGCACTGACATTCTGCCTGCCCATTAGGTCCAGGATGGCAGGAGTGACTACAGCCACCATTGTTGATTGCACAAGCACTGGTGGTGCCTGGAAGACAAGTGGATCAAATCATTTCATTGGTGATGAGTTTCTTTTCTATAATTCTTTAAATTTTGAAATGTTTTATTTGATTTATTACATACACATAAAGGATGAAATTGATATTTTAAACCCATGCAGTAAATCTGAATTTACAGATTACAGAAAACAAAAATGAGATTATACCAAAATTGCTGTTTTTTTTATCTCTTTTCACCAGAATGTTAGTTTTTTTTAAAGAACCACACTACAGGCTCCATAAATTCACACATACAAGCTTGTCTTTGTGCAGTGTAAACATGGATATCCATTGGTCGGTTTGGTAGTCCCTGGATCATAGGTGTAAGATTGGCTCCGGTGTGCTTCTCTGCTCTGTACACTCCAGCTTTGAAAACAAAAATTTTATCAATTGAAACATTTCAGCTGAAAAACTGATAACCCACTACTTAAAACTTCTTATTAAGCACAATATCCAAACAGAATGAAATTAAAAAATCACTGAAATTGCAAAATGGTTCCATTATATTTTCCCCACAACATTAAAAATGTTAATTAGTACTATTTCACATTTCTTAAAAATTTGGAAAAAATATCAATTTTTTTCAAGTTGTTTTGGTATGTTATGGATTGCAGCTTACCTAGTTTCCAGTCTGTCCAGTAAATGTAATAACCAAACACTGTCAGGGCAAATGGATGAATAGCAGTTTCCATGATGACTTCTCTATACTGACCATCCAAGGCAGAGCGTTCAATTTTTTGCCTGAATTCAAACAATAACAATGTTTCATGACAATAATTCACTGTATTCAAAACTAACATGAAAACCTAATTCTACACCGATAATATTCAACACTAATAATAATCATTTTACTATGTTGAAAACAAGGATGTATGCAAGGAGACCATTGGAGATAATACTGTCCCCTTTAATTTCCAACAATTATCATCTGAGGAGTACCAGCCAGCCTTATGGAACTATCCTTACTTTACTTTATGAAACACAGTTTACACCCAACATGAGCCTTGGTATAAAAAACTCTGAACGTTTAACGTAGGACCCATTTGAACTAAAATCTCAGAATCACATGATTCTATGGAAAAAAACCTCATGGTCATTATATTATACTTACATGAGAGCATCAGCCCAGTACATTTTCCCCTCTTCAAAGTCTATGGTCAGTCCATTTGGCCAGCCTAGCCCAGTGCTGATGATGGCTGTCCTCTGTTGGCCAGCCATGGTGGCGCGCTCTATCTTGGGAGATTTCCCCCAGTCTGTCCAGTACATGTGCCTGGAAGGTAGGTATTAAGTTTGGTAGTTTGTTTTATTCCCATATATATGTAGTATGCAGGTTAAATGGTCAAAGCAATCCACATTATTATATACAAGTTTAATCAAGCGTGATATGAAAGTTTATGTATATATAATCTAATATTTAGCCAAGCAAAGTCTTAAATCCCAATTGGATGAGGAACTCAGATCTAATGTTTTTGGCATAATAAATCAAAGACTTTGGTATATGGTATATGTTATTAACAGTTGAGAATGTGAATGAATGCTTTGTAAGTTCCAGTATCACTGTAACTTTTTTTGTTTCAAATCATAAGAAGTTCAAATACTGTGAAGCAATGAATCCTAATAAGGAAAGGGGGGGGGGGGGGTTTCTGAAAGTGCACATCACTTATCATACATTTATACTGATAACAATATATGCCTCTATCTATAATTCTATACAAGTACGTCTCAATATAAAATGCCTGTAAGTAAAATAGGAACTCTACCCTCTGCAGGGGTCCAGTACTATAGCTCTAGGGTTATCTGCCACTATCAAAGTCACACGATTGCTGCGGTCAAGATTCATGGAGAAAATGCGATGGATGGCATAATCTGACCAGTAGACCTTTTTGTTGACCCAGTCAAATGCCACCCCTTCTGGTGAATACAGCTCCTGAGTGGTGCCATCAACTGGAAGATATGGGAAATATTATATTCTTTAATCTTATCTCTCTCTCGTCCTAAAGGTAATACTGTTGATTTTTATTTTTAAGTTGAAACATGAATAATGCAATCCAATGAAATTTGGGAAAATAAAATTATACAAAACTGACGGATGACAAAAGAATAAAGTATTTGAGCACTTAAACATTTCTCTTTTTCTTGGTAATAGAATGGTAAGGCTAAAACTTTGAAATCATGGTTAAATCTCATACCCGTTTATCACGAACATCTTAAATATACCCTAGTTTAACGCAAATTCACCTAAACTTGAGTACTTACTTGTCCTATTTGCATGAGCAACAAAATCACTGACTTGTCCAGTGTTACTCAAGTCAACTTTACTGAGCTTTCTCCCTCTAACTTGAGTGAAGTATATAGTCCCAGTGGAATAATCAAAATCCAGTCCCACTGCACCTTCCAGGTTAGTGATGGGCATGAACGGCTGAGAGTGATCATCTGGATTGAGATGGAGGCTGCGGATCTCCGATGTCATGGCAAATACAAGGTATTCTGATGCTTCTACAATTAAGAAAAGGCAGTTTATAGAAATAGTGGGACCTGTTTCATTAAACAACTGATATGTTGGGGTTTGCTAAATATGATATTGTTCAACTCTAGTAGCCAACTTTATGAAGTAGACTTTGTTGGATTAGTCTAAGGTTATTTCATAATTGTCCCTTAATAAAGACAGCAACTCACTGATTACTGTCAATACCATGAGTAAAACTCAAGACAATAAGAAATTGGTCTAACTGTGGCTTAGTTTTAGACTGTACAAATGAGGGAAGGGACCCTTAAATTCTTTGTGACAATGGCCAATGGTACATATATTTCAAATAAAAAATTCTACAATGAAGACATTAAGAAAAAAAAAGAAAACGATTTTCTTTAAGCTTGCATTAAAGATACTTTAAAGATCCTCTTTCCATTGTTTTGAAAAAGAACAGACTAACAGGTAGCATGCCCATAAAACATAGCAACAATTACTTGTTTTTTTGTCAAATAAACAATTTTTCAGTGATACCAAGAGTAAATTGCTCCCCCCCCCCCAAAAAAAAAAAAGTAAATACATTTTGCTTAATTATGGAGATAACTGTCTTAAACTTAGGACAGAATGTTTAAGGCTTGAGTTTACGCACCTTTACAAGACTTGCCATCAGTGTTAAGTACTCCAACTGCACACCTACAGGTCGGCACAGTGGCACTGGGTAGGGCAAAACACAGCTGTTCGCATCCTCCATTGTTAGTGGAACAAGGACTTGTCACTGCAAGACAGTAGTACACGATTAGCAAATATATTCGACAGCTAAACAATACATTTTGTGGCAGATCCTCCACTTCTTCACCATGTATTTTTTTCATTTTAACATTATTTTTCACTTTATGATAAAAAATATTCAGATCTTATTGTTCTCATTCCCAACTCACCCTGTGGCTGTACGGAGGCATCATATATGACTATATCCCTCAGGTATTCCATATTGGACTGCACAACCACTGGAGCAGTAGTGTTACCAACATTTTTGCTGGCTTTGAAGATCTATCAAAAGAACAACATCTTAATTCTGAATATAACTTGATTCAAGCAAGCATACAATTTTCCCTATCTTAAAACTGCTCTACTCATTTACTCTTTACCATAAACCATATGGAATATTGTGTTTAAATGAGCCTATGAGTAAGGGGTTGTATAATATTACATTAAATCTAATGCTTCAGATAGACTTTTTTCTGTTTAAGATATCTGGGTGTTCAAACAGGCCTGTCAGTAGACTTAATTACCCTCTTCAGGTTCCTGTCCACCCAGTAAACATTGTCCTGGAACACTGCCAGGGAGAAGGGACTGGGGAGATTAGAGCGGATGTACTGTCTGGATCCACCACTGAAGGTCACACGCTAAACAGGGCAAAAATATCATTAGATGAATGAAGCATAGAAATACTAGACATTAAATCACAAAATGGAACTTCATGTATGGATGGTATTGACTTTGACCTTTGTCTATATACGTATTATAGATTTCCTCAGAAAACTTTGCTAATTGCCACCGCTTAATTTTTATTTTCTAACTCTTAAAAACTACAACTGGATTAATAAAAATAAACACTTTAATATATCATTAATTTAATAAGATAAGATATGGTTTACAAGACCAAAAAGGCCTTAACATCAGAATTCCTTCATCAAACGAGAAAAAAATTCAAAACATTTTTTTAGGTTTCAGTAAGGGTAGAGGTAAAATGAAATCATAAAAAAGGAATAGATATCAATTTGCTTATAAATATTAATATAAGTAATACAATCACTACTGCATCACTATGACACCCCCATATCACAACCTAGACTACCTGTATTGCATCCACTACACTGTCCACCCAGTAAACATGGTGTGTGGTGATGTCCACTGTAATGCCTCTAGGGATGCTGACCCCAGTGGACACTATTACTGTCCTGTTACTGCCATCCAGATGTGACCGCTCTATCTTTGGGCTCTGTCCATAATCGGTCCAGTACAAATACCTGCATTGTTTTTATACAGATCATAGTTTTAACAAAAGTGTCATAAAAGTGTAAAAAAAAAAGTCATTTTAATTATTAAAATAACAAAAAAAAATGTAAAATTTTACTGTTATGAAAATTAATACAAAATGCAACTTATATGCAACTTAATGTCTAAAAAGGACAGTATCTCACAGAATTGAACATTTCCTATGATATGCAGAAGCAGAAAGATGAAGAAATGGGAGAATAACATCACACACTGGATCGGGCTGATGTTTAGCAGCATCTTCAGAAAAACAAACAGACAGGAGTGGAGAGAGCTGGTCCGAAAATCCTCAAGTGGCGCCCCCACAGTCCACTAGACCATGGGACAGAACAGGATCAGACAGGATTAGAAAGGATAGGATAATATAAGATAGGGTAGGATAATAGAAACTAATACCTTTTTATAGGGTTCACTGCCATTGATCTTGGTTTATCAAACTGTGTCCTAAGCAGTGTCAACCTGTTGGAGCCATCCAGTCGACATGCCTCAATGTAAGTCTCTATGGCCATAGCATTGGTAAAATATATGTTTCCTGGAAAAATGTCAGATCCAGTCTTGTTCAAAGATTTCCTTTTCCAATATGGTCATCTGATACTCAAAATAAATAGTGATTTGGGGGGAAATTAGGAAACATATTGACACCATTTTTCATTTTCAAGCATTTTGCTTTTTTTATGAAAACATCAGCATCTTAAGATTAACTTATTCTTTTAACTATTAGGCCCGTTCTTTGCTCAAGAGATTAACAGACAAAAATCATTAACTGCATTTCAAACTAAAAGTGGATCAACCAAATAGAATGTTTGCACTGATTGACCCTCACCAGCTACCCAGTCTAATGCCATTCCTCGGACTCCATTGACACCTATTCCTGACGATATGATATCTTCATATCCAGAACCATCTTGTTTCACCTTCCTGATCCCACTGGTCTTGTTGGAGCCAGATCTGACACTGTCACACCAGTAGATAGAGCCACTTGAGATATGGACTGCAATTTGGAGAGCATTACGACCTGGAATAGAAATACACACAATCTCTACACTCTTGCCTCTTGACATCATTGTCACTGTCACAGGATCTGAAACTCTGCCCAGGTCTGGGGTGGAGTAAAAATGAATGCAACTAAACATCTGTGTCATGATGAGAACTCTACATATTCTCTCAATAACAGTCTTAATTATAATTATACAGTCTCAACCCAGCCTGCCCCAACCACACTCCACCCACCCAGTAACAGAGCTGACTGCTTCACCCTGGGTTGTTAGCAGTTAGGTGCAAACAAAATTGTACACTTTTTTCTAAATTAGGATTTTTGCTGCAAGTGTTCCTACCTTTTTCTCCTATAGGTACCATAGCCTCCTCTTGCAGGTCACTTGCCAAACTGTATCCTCTTATACTGGTCAACTGAGACACAATGGCAAAGGAGTTTACAGCTGCAATTTGAAAAGATAAAGAAATATCTGATTGACTAGAAAGCGACAATAAGGCTCTATTCCCATAGATTTTAGATCGATCTATCCCCGCAGGGAGTCTCACTAGATTACTTTCAAATAATCCGACTTAAATGTCCGTCCCGCCTACTACAAGCTGTAAGGGGATAATTAACTTTCGTGTCCGCCCAGCTGACAGCTATTTAGCGTGAACCCCCAGGGAGTTAGGTCGATCTAAAGTAGGTCGATCTAATCTATGGAAATGGGGTGTATAATACCTGAACATAGGTATGCAATACAGAAAGCAACCTTTATACATGTATGTAAATTTCAATATGTAAACATAGGAAATTTATTAACTGGTCTTAAAAACAATCAATTTTAAAACTGTCCGTATTCAAGAGAATGGAAACAAGTTACTGCATGGTTAAAGCAAAAAGAACACAATTTGCAAAATTCAAGGGGTTTTTCTATAACTAGCAGACAGAGGACTTCAGATTACCTGTGCACTGTGTGTCACCTTGCAGAGTATACCCTATTGTACAGGCACATGTTCTGCTGGATTTGCCATTAGGGAGACAAAGATGCTGACAACCACCATTGTTACTGCTGCAGCCATTACTCTGACCTGAAAACAGTTCAAGACAAAAATCAAAACCCCTTCTGAAAAGGAGACAAAAAATGCTGAATTTTTTCTATTATTCTTTTTTGATGCACTGTCAATAATTGTAACCAATTTTAAAATGCTTCTCTGCCCTTTTTATTGTATACTTCTACAGGGTGCAAATGGTGGCATTTTGCTATAAACCTCACTTTTCTTTGTTTGTCACTCTTTTACAAGTTTGTATACCCCACAATATCTTTTCACTCTTCACAGATCACATCTATTCACCTGACAAATAATATTGGGACTATAATTGTGTGCACACCTTGATTATGTCTCTCTTTGTATACCATCAGTGATTTCAGCTTTTCTAGGTTATTCTTGAGTCGGGTTTTGGCATGTCCTGCTGCCATAGCAACCTCGTAAATGGCCTCGTAGTTCTGATCTGCATAATAGAGTTTGTCATTGCGTATCGTCAAGCCTGTGGGGTGACTGAGTCCTGAGAGGAAAGAGCTGCGTGTTCCAGTCCCAAGATCATACTTCTCAATCTGGAAAAATAAATGAGATTATGCATTAATTCAGACAAATATTGGCTGATGCATTAAATATTATAAATTTCAAACATATGTGCCAACAAAAACAATACTTAAAAATATGTTACAGGTATAATACATTACACAAAATGATACAAATGAATACTACATGATTAATCATGAAGTGATGAATCATCATACATTGACAGAAGGGAGAAAAGGTGAACCATGAGGATTTCTTAATTATCAAGTTGATTCCAAAACTTAAAAAAAAAAAAAAAAAAATCTAACACAAAACTTTGCCTACCGTTTCGTGACTTCCTTGGCTCCAATAGAGTGCCTGGTTGGCAGCATCCAGTGTGATGTATCCAAGTTCAAACAGGTTATCTGAGACCAGCACAGTGGGGTTGCTACCATCCATATACATGCTGGCCACCTTCCTTGGGACAGAAGCAAAACCTTCATCCAGCCAGTACAATTTTCTGGAAAAAATATTATAATTGATGAGAACATTTCAAAGCAATTAAGACATAATACAGAATGGGTTGCATGTTTCAAAATTAAAGCTTTCTGGTAAGAAGATATAACTACATTTACAGCAATATCTTATATCTAATTCATTGGATATCGATTGGAACACACACTGTTTAAAAACAATCCAATGGTTCTCAGAAATGAGACTTGCCCTTCTATGGGGTCCACACAAATTGAGACAGGGTGTCCTACTCCAGTCACATTCCCAGAGTTCCTCAGTATAATTTTCCTATAGTGTTGATCACTGTTCAGTTGAATAACATTGATGGTGGAGTCTTCTATACTTCCCCAGTACATATTCTGAGACAACCAGTCGATGGCTAGACTGTAAGATGAGGAGACAAAGGCACTGGGAGCAAAGTCTGTCCTGTTTTCTCCAGTAAGTTTCCTACGCTTTACAGATCCCTAGGTAAACAAAAAATCATAGATTCACAAAGTATTCTTTTATCTTGATAACAAAGTTATATAAATCTAAAATTCAAAGTATTTTAAGAATTATAACTGTCTTGTAAAGGGATGCTAGAACTTTGTTTGAAAAAATATGTTGCATCAATGTCTAACACCAACCTACAAATAACTTAATTTTCTTAAGCAATCAAACAGTTAAATGATGATTTCCACAAATGGACAAAGCCATCTGTCTGTTCTACATACTTCTCCTGACTGTTCCGAGTACTCGATCCAATAGACAAATCCTTCCTTGCTATCAAAGTCCATATCCCAGCCTCCAGTAAGTCCCACCACTGGCACAAACATGTCAGTGGCTTCTCCTGGATTAGTAAATGTGCTGCCACCTATCTGACCAGCTTGTATATACATCAAGAATTCATCATGAGCTGCAAAAAAGGTAAGATAAACCAAGAATAACCAACATTGTTGTTCTCCATTCTTCTTTTTGTTTATTATCTTCTATATAAAGAGCACTGAAATAGCAAAACAAATGAAAGAAATGAATATTGATAGTTTTAGAATTACCAGTGAATACTGACCCTGCTGACAGTTATGTGCTGAGCTATCTAACTTCATTCCCACAGGACAGGCACACTTGTATGACTGGTTAGGATCCGGGGACAGCAAACAAAGATGGCTGCACCCATTCTGAGCACAGGGATTGGAGGCTGAGAATAACGAAGAATTATTCATAATCTCTGAACTGAAGGCACATTTTATGAATATGGACGCGTTCAAAAAATATAAAGGGTAAAAATCATATGTATCTTTTTTTCTAAACTGAGAAGATATGCAACCAAAAGCAAGCAATGTGGCAGTTCTCATTTTAAACTTCAAAGATTTTTTTTGTCACAATTTTCTATGATAGGGTCAGTAAATATTACTAATTGTTATTTACACAGAAAAACAAAATGTGCTTAGAGGAAATTGGGTATAGGATAATCCTTCATACACCCATTTCCTCTCATTTACACAAAGAAAAGTTACTAGTGTAAAAACAAAAATATTGGTGCTTACAAGTAGGTTGCCTTAGTGAATGGAAAGCAGCAACACCAAGAGGCTGGTTCATGTTTTTTATTACTATGGTCTTTGTGTCACACGTGAACTTAGAGCACCTGTTGAGTTGGTTGTTCAGACGATCTGTCCAGTAGACATTATCCTCAAAGATGGTCATAGCATGAGGGTGACGGAGAAACTGAAATTTAAAAACAAAAAATCAATCCATTCTACTTTATATTTTTACATGCATGTATTTTCCCTTAAAAATTACTAATATAAATTATTTTATAGAATTATTTGATATATTCCACAAAGCTGTACATAACCAGAAGCTATCACTAGCTGGAATCCAAGCATTTATTCAAAGAGGCACAAACATACAAATTCCTTACATTTTTTCAAGAAATTAACCAAAAATGCAAATTAGTCATACAATCTTCAACATAACTCACGTGGCTATTGGCTATCACTTGGTGTCTCCCTGTTCCATCATAATTCACAAATTCAATATAATCCATATGGGCATCGCAGAAATACAGACGCTTGGTAGGAAGGTCAATAGCCAGACCATTAGGCCAGAAGAGTTTAGTTGTTACGATAGACACGCGTCCACTCCCGTCCATGCCTGCCCTCTCAATACGTGGATTCTGGCCCCAGTCTGTCCAGAACATCAATCTTTGTCTGAATTTATAAGTTTTAACTTTAAAATTAGTGTTAAGAAGTAAAACAGCTATTGCATCTTAGAATGAAACAATAATTTAAAATAGTTTTCAGAAAAAATCTAACATAATAATCAAAATTATTATTCAATAGTTCTAAAGTTAAATCAGTGAAAGTAAAATAATTAATTTTGGTAAAATGCCCTGTATGCAAACAGGTTCATTCTCTGATATCTTACCCTTCTCTTGGATCAAGTGCAATTGCCCTTGGATTGGTTACGTTGTCCCCAAACAACACCGTCCTGTAGCGTCCATCCAATGTGGCTACTTCTATAGTCTCCAGCACATAATCTGTCCAGTAGATATTTCTGCCAACCCAGTCCACCGCCAAACCCTCCGTCACATCCACACCACTTTCAAACAACTATAAGAGAACATGTAAGTACTTTATTTATCTTCACTGTCTTTACTTGCATTGTCATTTTTCACTTTTTATTCATGTCAAGCCAATATTGTATCAATATTACACAGATGCAAAAAAAGTTATACTAATAAAATTCTCTTTATCATAAATTTTTTCTGAAATTAAAGAATTTCTTACCACTTTACAATCGGTCCCATTTACATTACAGTGGTATATTTTATTAGCCCTGGAATCAGCATAAAACAATTGCCCCCCAGCAACATCCACCTCCACTGCGATGATATTGGTGCCAGTAATTGGGAGAACTTCATAATTCCACTGCTTTAAATCTGAGCGATAAATGTTCTGCCGATTGGAAGTAAAGATAAAGGCAGTGTCATTGCTGTCTGTAAATAAAAAAAATAATAAAATAATAATAATAATAAAAATAATGATAATAAATAGTGCATTTAAGTGCAATTTTAATGGTTATCTACAATGCACATTACAATCACAAGTCTGCATATAACCATGAATACCATTCCCCATCTTCTATTTTTGTTTCTCTAACACACACACACACACACACANAAACAAGTCTGGCTACATTTGCCTGGTATTTCACACTCATCTTCATCTGTGGTGAAAAATGGGAAACAGTCATGCTTTTATCACTTTTTTCATTCATATCTTTGATCAATTCTTAATACTCCTAGTCATCAACTGGCATTTTAACCTGTTCAGTGAAACTGTAAAATTATAAACAACAATTGAACATACTACACATCCCAATAGTTATTGATGAAGTACAAGTTATTCATATTTAAAAGGTTCTAATTCCTTTTCCAGATCACACATTAATCAACAATTACCAATTTTTAAGAAGATAAACCAACATTTAAGCTCAGACCTGCAAATCCTCAAATGTGTATGAAAGGGGATGACTACCACGAAAATAATGTTAAAAGTTATCTACCCATGCAGGTTTTAGTTCCATTGAGTACCTGTCCTGAGGGACAGAAACACTCTGCACCAAATGGCGTCTGCCTACACATGTTACTGCAGCCACCATTAGAATCATAGCATGTGTTTGTGTCTGGAAAAAATAGAAGTTTGTTATCAATAGAGGTATATATGCCACTATCCATGATGAGTCAATTTGAAGGGGATTATGCCTACAGATGCCATTCTGCAAGTTTCTTCAGCCTGGAGCGCTTGAATTTTTTGCCTCATATTTATTGTAAACCCCATATTCAAATGGCTTTAAGTGGAACTCTGGAAAGTGATAAATTTTTATTGCACTAACATTAAGTGTGTATTATTTTTGAAAGCACCAAATTCATCAGGTTAAAGCTAAGAAACAAATTAAATTTCAAGCAATGCTTTTATGTTTACCTGACTTGTAGCTTTACTGCAATTAATACTTTATGTTTCAAACTTTTGGTTTTTGCTAAAACTCATCCATGTTTTGGTAACTAAGACATATACACAAACACACTAACATTCAATTCAGCAAAATCAGGAGATATTTTCCAACAGTCTTCCAAATCCCCCATTTTTGACCATCTTCTGACAAAAAAGAAATTGATGACCCTCAATGTAAACTTTAAAAAGATGGACTGTATTCCGGAAGACCCAGAAGATGGCCTCCGTCCACCCCTGAAAATGACCACTGGAGATGTTATCCACTTACTGCACACAGGGCTCTCATCATGACCTCTTGGACAATCAGGCTGACCATCACAGACCTGAGAGATGTTAACACAGACCCTCAGGCCGTCTGGACACAACCACTGGCCAGGTGGACACTGGAACGGTTTGGGAGCTGCAAAGTAGTCAAAGTTGAATGAATATAGGGATACTTTGGATTTCTCAACATTTTGGGTAATTCAGATCAAAAACAATCATTTAAAAGACAAATGCAACACAATGTCATGTCAATTGTAGTCTAATTTACAAGTCAAAAATTATTTCCAATTTACAGAATATTAAGATTCATTCAGAATGTAATTAACTAAGAAGTTAGCAAATTTGTGTCTATCAATTGTAAGATCAATTTCAGTATTCACTTTTTTTAACATTTTTATTCTCAAAAATATTTCAGTACAAAGTATAGGATGTAATAAAAAGGTGGCAAATCACCAATATCCACTCAATAATGATTTATTACACTTACGGCAGTTATGCCTGATGTCCTCGTCTGATCCATCTCCACAGTCGTTGTCGCTGTCACAAATCCAGCTCCTGTAAATACAACGTCCATTGTCACAACGGAATTTATCTGCAGGGCAGGTGGCTATACTTGAGTCTAGAAACAGACAAAACATAGGTCATTTATAAAAAAAAGAAATACAAAAATATTTTACAATTTGCAGAGTCAAGATATACAAAAGTTGCATTAGTTTAGTATCAATGAAGCCAATTTGCAACAATTTTGTCTTTTGGGACTAGCTGATTTTTATTATTTTTGTAAATATGAAAAACGTTCCTAAATATTTTTTTATATCATTAATCGTTACATCCCCATTAGTTCTACTTGCCATCATATTATCCCAGTTGGACATGTTTAAGAAACAAATAGAAAATAATTTTGAAAAGCACTAAGGACACAAAACTTTATCATGTAAAGGTACATACCACAATCACTTTCATCTGAACCATCCAAACAATCTTCTTCTCTGTCACATTTCCAGTTGCCAGGGATGCAGCCCCCACCATTGCGGCATTGAAATTCATTTGAGTGGCAGCCCCCTGGTGGCCGTGTTGCTACAAGACAAGACATCAATTTCTTATCTTTTAAGAAATAGACAAATAACAGATTCCCCACAAAACTGTATTTTCAAATGTTAAATTCTACATTACTTTAATTATTTTAATATTATTGAAATAATATATCCCTCATGGTGTGTTAAAATGCATAGCCAACAGAGGCAAGTTTGAAACCTGTGAAATAAACTTCAAGGCCATATATAATACCAACAATCTCAAGACAAGCATCAATGAATTATAAATATGATGTATTTCAAACTATTTATCTATACCCATGTTTATAAAAAGAAAAGAAATTATTGGCAATAGTGCTAAGTGTTTTGTTTTGAATCTAACAATTATAACTATTTTGACTGGGTTCCCACAGATTTAGATCGATCCATCTGGATTGACCTAACTCCCTGGGGGTTCACGCTAAATTACTGTCAGCTTCCAAGAGCCGAGCTTGCACAAAAGTTAATTACCCCCTTACAGCTTTTAATAGGCGGGACAGACATTTAAGCCGGTCAGGCTGACAGCAATCTAGTGAGACTCCCCAGGGGGATGGATCAATCTAAATATCTGTGGGAATACAGTCTAAATCTATTCCTTTCGACTACTGTAAAGAACGTACGACAGTCCATTTCGTCTGTTCTGTCCTCGCAATCTGGGGCACCATCACAGCGATATATGATAGTGATGCACTCATGCTTATTCCGGCACTGAAACTCTGAAGACGAGCAGTTTTTGATGGGGCAGTCCGCTTCGTCCCCCCTGTCCTGACAGTTGATGTAGCCATTGCAGACCCAGGAGAGTGGAATACAGGGCCCATTGCTGCACTGGTATTCATCAGGGCCACACGTTTTGTCTCCTAAAAAACGAAAAAAAAAAAAGTGCTACAGTCTGTAAAAATAACTTAATTAGCTAGTGGTCAGTCATTTTGAATTTTTCATATTTTATGGCCTAAAAGATCAAAAGTAGCACATGTACTCTTTGAAATTAGTTTATCAGTAGTGTCTTTTTTAGTCATATCTGTTGCTAAATCACTGATAGTACAAGTTTGGATCATTTCACCAGGAAAACATTTAAATAATAATAATATGCTGCTTTCAAAAGATTCAGTACATAAGAACCCATAATAGCCTTACCACAACCAATCTCATCAGAACCATCCAGACAGTCATTGTCAGAGTCACACCTGTCATTCATGGGAATACACAGATTATTGGAACACCTGAACTCAAAGCTGTCACAGGTCACATTGGGGCCTTGGTGTGAGAAAAAAATGTTTATAATGTGAATCCTTACTTTAAAAGCCTAAAAAATTAGTGAGTGCTAAAAGTAAAATTACCTTAGTTTTTTTGTCTCACAAGCTTTGACTGGTATCATTTTACAAAACAATCTGACTAAAGCAATTTGATTTCTTTAAGATGAAATAAAAATACATCACTTGGTTTCCAAAAGACATCATTTATATTTTTAAGGAGGCAGTCACCAAGGAAATACTCCATTCAGGTGATTTTGATCACACTTTTAATACTTTTCCTTATTTTCAATTTCACTTTTTCAAGTCATTCAAAATACAAATCAATCACTTTTTAGTTCAATATTTGAATTTATTCAATTTGGGTGAAATTAATTATCTATGCTCACCTAAGTAGCATCCATGCACAACCTTAAACTTAAGGCTTTTTACACTAAAGGAGTTTTAATATTCAAGCTTGGCAAATAATATTTCTTCGCAATATTTAGATTCTTACATCTATTACCTGTATCTTTAAGAGGTTGGATATAAACTATCACAACACTGTTCTTATTACTTATTACTTACAGCCTAGTTCATCTGTCATGTCACCACAATCATTATCACCATCACAGCGCCAGCGTGACATCACACATTTCCCGTTATTACACTGAAACTCACTGGATGAACAAGTTTTTGCTAGAAAGGCAAAGATGTCAATTAAGTACTCAAATTAGTTAATAAATATGCGACAGAGAGAATTTGTCCTGTAGTAAACTTTTTAAAAACGTTTTATCTAGGGTGCCTATTTCGTCAAAACAATTTGAAAAACATGTTTAAATAATATATATCTATTAACATATTTTAATATATATTTCAAAAACAATTAAAAAATATTTCAGTCAATGTCTAAGGTAACTTACGTGGACATCCCTCTTCATCTGAATTGTCCAAGCAGTCATTGTCACCATCACACTGATAGCTGCCTCTCAAACAGCGGCCATTATTACACTGAAAATTTCCTGACGGACAACCTGTGAGTACTGGCTCATCAGGATTTGTTATGCAAGTGCGGGCATCGCGATCCAGCTTCATTCCATATGGACAACCACAATGGCGTCCCTGTGGTGGAACAGGGAGACAGAAGTGCGAACATGCCCCATTGACTGGCTGCACGCAGTGATGCCTGGCTATACAAGAAACAAAAAAAAAATTTCATTGTAGACTAAGCATTAACTTTTTTTTTTGTTTCTGTAAATGTTTTTTTATCTTAATAATCCAGTCATGGTAGGGACATGCATCATAAATCCTACATTAGAAATTGGACTCTGATTTGCAAAATTTTAAAATATTAATAAGAAAAAGATTAAATCTACAGCCTATAGACCTGCCTGGCTGTGTTGCAGGTTAGAATATGCTTAAATTCATTGATTCAGAAACTATATGTATTAAGTTTGCATTTAATGGAAAATATTTTAAACAGCTTATATTTAACTAATTTAACTCTTTATTTTTTCAAATCATCCTGCCAAAATCAAAATGCCATCTTAGTTATCTACATACAACACATACAATATGCCAACAAAATTTCAGTCTTAAACATTAATGAAAAAAAAAATCATATACAGAAACCACACAAAAAAAATCCCTCATAACTACAGAGGATTTCTCACCTGGTTTGGTCTGCAAAGCTGGGTCGAACACACGCACTTCCATCAAGTTTGGTATCCCAGTGCGAACTGGAATTTCTGATCTTAGACTTGGGGCTGTCTTGTTAATTCTCATAATAGACTCCAATCTCCAGTCAGTAAAATATAAGTAATCTGGATTGAAAATCAAAAGGTCTATTAAGAGCAATTTATATATCTTTTTCAATAAATTCCTAATACATACATCCAGGTAAAGAGAACTGGAATCGCTTGTATATCAAGGATCTTAGTCCATATGATTCCATTCTTCAGTACTTAACAAATCCAGTATCACCTCAAGTAATACTGTTTATACATACATGGGCTTTGCCAAAAGAATTGGAAAAACATCAAAAAATGCAATATACTGTTGGCAGCCCCTTCTTTCATTGTTTTCTATAAATGGGAACAAAATGCCAAGTGCAAGCATCAAGATCATCCTATGCATTTGTATTACTGAAGCTAATTCCTGCTCGTTTAAATTGACTAGGTTATTAAAAAGAATATTACCATTAGTCTGCCGGAATATCAATTTCAGTCTTAATTTTTTCAAGAAAAACATAATCATAAACAATACAATGACAATGGCTAATTGGAATAATCCATACACTGAATTAAATTGGTAAAATGCAAGGTTAAATTGATTGTTACAGTTATTGTGTTTCAGTATTTCAATAATTGGGGCAGGGGTGGAAAACAAATACCTTGACCTTTACTCTCACTGACTTAAAACAATTCAGTTACTGCATGTTGTCTTTTACCCAAGCAGACAAGCAATAGCTTACAAACTTAAGGGAGCATGTTGAAAATGCCAGGCACATTCTGAACACAAGACCAGATTTAAACAGTTCTGTGCCTTCTTTTTATTTCATTATCTTATGGTGATAGTCAACAACTGTCCAAGATACCTTGCTAGTAAACATTGTTTTTCTTTTCTTATTTACCTTATTTTGCTTTCAGAACTTTTAACGGTACATTAAAAAGATATCAGGAAACAAAGAAGAAAGAAAATGAAAATATGATAAACAAGGCCATCTGTTTCTTGTTAACCTGAAACCTTAACCAATTTGGCAGTTTACATGTAACCTTAAAGTACTTAATACTCTTGGGTGTTTTTCACACTAGGTAGTTGATATACCAAGTTCAATTATGGCAATATCCTGCTACTCTCAAGAAGTTGGAAAGCCTCAGTTGAGGGTGTAGCTTTTTCTAGCTATATGTTAAATACATATATCATTCTGATATCTTGCTAACATGAAATTTAGCTTAAATATGCGTAATATCATACAGTTTTCCCATTTAACTACTAGTCCCTAACCTTTGTAAATAGCATTCTGAGAAAAATAAAAATGTATACAGACTAAAAAAATTGTTTTTTCTCAATGTCTTGTAAATTTTCAAATAGAACATATAAATTTGAACATTTTTGTCTGATGAAAATGATAAGTTACTTTACCTCCATATACAGCCAAACCAAAAGGATGTGAAATTGTATGACCAGACAATGTTCTCAGATCACTCCCATCATATCTACAATGTTGTATTCTGAAAAAAAAGGAACCACTAAGGTAAATTACATTCCCTTACTCAATTATTTAGTTTGAAAACAAACATACATACAAGGCACTGAAAAAAACTAAAACCTATGCATGTAAGTGCTGCTTTTTCCATGGTTCTTGATGGTTTAAAAACAGTTTAAATATCACAAAATAAGGTAAGAAAAAAGTCAAAATACACACCTATCAAAAAGAGCATCACACCAGTACACTCTCCTTGCTGTTCGATCAACATCTATCCCATTTGGCCAACCAAGTTCATGTTCTCTTATGTATGTTACATTTGATCCATCACCATAAGCACGCCCAATCCGTGGCCCAACATCAGAACTACGCAGCCATTCTGTCCAGAATATGTATCTTGAAAAAAATTAATGCACAATTCCAGTTTAAACTTATGAAAATTAATCTGGTGTTATCACACTCAAAGAATGAATGAAGCTGATGGTACAAACAGCCTTTTAATGGTATTTTTAACTGTTTAACATAGACATTAAATCAAATTGTTCAAATTTTTACAAAAGTACTTTCCTGGGAAAAAGCATTGCCAAATCATGCAGAGTTAACAAACGAAATTAACTTTTGGTCTTCCTGCATGTGAAATAAAAACAAATGTTAATCGGCTAATCTAAACCTTTTATATTTTGAACATATATAAACATCAGTAAAGCCCTTCAAGAAATGCAATGATGCATCTTCAGAACTATTTCGTCATTTAAAACTTTGGTCAACCTTTCCATCATTTGTCTAAAGATTCATTTACAACTTTCAAGAATCTTAGTTTTAGGTTAAGTTATTGATTTTCAAAAAGTCTTTTTCCAAACGTATTCTAGCACTTACCCAGAAGCAGGGTCTGTGACTATAGCCCTGGGGTTTCCCAGGTTAGATATAATTATCCGTGTCCATCCAAAGTTGCTAAGTGAGACCACTGTGACCGTACCTGACCCATGGTCAGTGTAATACAGGTTCTTGGCCACCCAGTCCACTGCCAGCCCCTCAACTGTCACCAGGTTGTTAACAATTACAGATTCTTTTCCTTTAAGTGAACAAAAAAATTAACAACCTATAGTTCCACAAAAAACATTAACATAACTGGATAAGTCTTAAATGTTTGTCAGTGTTTTTAGGTGGCAAGTCTATGCACAGGAGAGTCTTAAAAGTCTATGCAAAGGAAATAAAAATCAAAAACTAACCCAGGCTTACTTTCATAAAATATTGTAAAATTCATAATATATTCACAGAATGGCTGATACCATTTTAATATAACCTTAACACAAATAGCTACGTTCAAGATATCTATACAAGTCAGTAAACATACAAACATCTCAATTAGACAGGAAATAATGTTACTGTGATAGATTGTACAAAGATCAAACATGCAAGATCACCTGTCCCATCTGTTTTAACTCTGCTAATTGCATCCAAGGTGACATCAGAGTAATAGATATAGTTGCTTTCAGCATGATAGTCTGTGCCAATGAAACTACTGATTAAGGAATAAACAGGATACATGGCATCCACAGTGTAGGATACAGCATCTTCTAGAGGAATGCCTCGGATTCTGTTTGTTGAGACAGCAATGAGAAATTTGTCTATTTCTGAAATTCGTAAAGGTGTTGCTTGTAAGGTCCGAGTCAATGAAGTACATGTAGAATGTTTTTAAGAAAACTAAAATAATTTTAAAAATTAAATGACAGCAAATAATTGAAATGGCAAATAATTTTGAAATAACCTTTCGAATTTCGAAATAACCTTTTCACTTCCTAAACTGAAAATATATAGGACAAATTCATTTCAATTCCTAAACATTCAGATATTCCTGTCATAATTGGTTGAAAAATTTTTAAAATAAACTTATAAATAGTAGTTCCTATAAAGCTGACAACCCTGGATACAAAGCATACCCACATGTACTTAGATCATTAAGTCACAGATATTAAATATCAAATATGCACCTATGGAGCCTTTTTTAGAGCATTCTATACGTACTGGTGCAGGTTTTCTGGTCATTTGTTATCTGGTAGCCAATATCACACATACACCTATAGCCCAGTCCACTGTCCGTAGTATGGGTCACCACACACATATGGTCACAGCCAGCTCCAGCACAGGGGTTGGACACTGAAATGTAATAAAAACAAACCCACATCAATCAAACCCTGGGTATTGTATTATCTTACCGTTGACAACAAAATTATACAAACGCTTGAAATGTGCACAAAAGAAGTCTTCAGACAGATTTTGATAATTTTTTTTTTCATTCATACTTATGCAATCACGCCATGTATCTGAAAATGGCACCATCAGCTACAAAACATGCTAAGCAAGGCATGAAGGAGGGTGACATAAAAGTATACCAGCACTTGCCAGCATGGTAAGTGATCATCCTTTACCCTGGGAGAAAAGATGTACATTTATCCCTCCTGACAATAGTGATTGCATATTGTGAATTGAGAATGTACTTTTAAAGCAGTTTATCCAGGGGTGTCACTGCAGCTATTTTTAAAAAAATTTTTTTGGGTAAACAAATTATCTGATAATGTTACAATACCTACCAGGCACAACTGCTAACCAACCTGTGACATTTATTAAAGTAACCCTTTTAAAGACTGGGTTCCCATCCCTAGATCAATCTAACAGGGTCTGTCTATCTCCATGGGGTTTCTCACTAAATTGCTTCCAGCTTATGTGGCTTAGCTGTCTGGGACACCAACTAAAGCTGCTAAAAGATAGTTAATTACCCCCTATCAACTTCAGTAGGCATGAGAGACATCTAATCCGTTTAAGTTAATTGCAATTAAGTGATAATCCCCTTGGAGATAGTTCGATCCAAAGTTAGTACGATAGTCTCTGGGAATGGTCTCAAAAAGTTACTTATTCAGCTCATGGTCAGTGTGTTAAAGCAGTGACCTGTATCTAGCTAGCCCCCGGTATATATCTATCACAAAACAATGAAGTTTTCAAAGATGATTATGTCCTGTTAACACTTTGACACTGCAACTCATACAAACGCATAAAGAAATCAATCTCTTCGTTCTGATTTCATCAATAATCAAATGGGAAAAAATAATGTTATTCCTTTACCGCAATTGTCCCAGCTCTGAAAAAGCAATTTTTACTGCCCCAGCTCTCTAAAAGCAATTTTTTGCTTTTCTTCTTCAAGAACACAGAAATTTGGATTGCAATATCTTGATAAAGTGCACTATTCAATCTGATTATAGGCCATAAATTGTTAGTCTATCTACTTTTTAGATAATACTTAAAATACTATTAAGTGCAAAGAAATTAGATGCCGATTGGCAGTGTTATGATCATGCTGGTTCATCTGTATCAGGCAATCCAACATTAATGAGAATATTTTATATGACAAATCCAATAAATAAATATAATGAAAGAATTTAAGGTTACTCAACAGTGAGCACTTTTGAAAAAAATAGCGACATGGATCCGGGTGGGGGGTGGGGGGTGGGGGGGGAGAGGTCACTTACCTTGTGGTTGTCTTGCAGAATGTTTCACCTTCAGTCCCCTCATTTTTCCATCATGATTGCTGCCATAGTTGTACAGAGAAGAGGCAGAGTCTTCTGACTTGCTAATGCTCAAGATTGCCAGTTTGGTCCAATCCACTGCATACAACCGGTCCTCAAATACAGTGAGACTTCTGGGATTGGGAAGGTGACGCACTCCTGACAGAATAATTCGTCTAGAAAAACAAGCATCAAATGAAATGGTTTTTTTTTTACTCAAGATATTTCATACACATTTTATTCAGAAACAGTCTTATAAAAGACAAAAATTTTAAAGGTATTTATGAACATACAAATGAAAATATGGCAAAAATCACATTTCAAACACAATTTACAAATTTAACAGGATGTACATAATTTTTTACATTACTAGTGCTTAAAAAATTTAATATCTCCTTTTACCTATGTTGCCCAGTGTAGCTCACACTCTCAATCCTTTCCATTTTGTAGTCTGACCAGTAGACCCTCTTGTTCACATGATCCAAGCAGACACTGGTGGGAGCGGTCACTTTTTCTGTGGCCAGCACATGCCGGTGACTGCCATCCATAAAAGCTCTCTCCACCTTGGAAAAATGACGCTTAGTCCATTTCCCATGATCAGTGAAGAACATATACCTAAAATTAATAAGTATTGTATCATTATACAGATTAAAAAAATTTACTGAAATTTTTTAATTTTTCTATTAAAATAGAAAAATGTTACAAAGACATGTGCCTTGGTGGAAGAGGAACCATAGGTTCTGAGACAACATCATTATTCATGGCCTGGGCTTTGTATGTCTAGACTCAAAATAGCATAAACTACCTACTACTTTGGCTACAGAAAAATAAATATTCCTTTAACTTCTATCCATTTACCACTAAACAGGAATTAATCAATTGTTTTGACTAAAATACAAAAATATTTAACTTGAGTGACATCTAAGTTTGTAAAGGAGATGATAAAGAGAGCTAAATATATATTAGTTGCCAGGGAAAAGTGTTTTTTATCAAGCATAAAGTAATTAGCTTTTGATCTCCATGAACACATATCAATATTATTTCAATATTAATCATCTTAAAACAGATTCAAGATGCAAATATTTGTTTATCCTAAAGTCACTCTCATTAGTAGAGATTGTCAACGAAATCATATGCAAAGTACATATATCAACACTTCAAGAGAGTTTGACTTCCCTTATGGTATAAAACTTAGACATGTAACTTCATGTGTCAGACATCTTGATATACAATTCACCATTTAAAATGAAAGATTTTTCTACAATAATAAGGTTATCAGTGGTAATACATTTTACATCTAAAATACTTTTTTTTTCAGTTTAGCTGTGGTTTTTAACTTATCTCATTGGAGTTGTGCTAAAATTCAGAAGAAAATAATTTGATTTATTTACTACCAAACTCAGAATTTTATTTTAAAAAAATTTGTATAATTTTCACAAATCTCAACCATGGTCTTTTATACTTTCAAAAAAGGCAGAAAACGACAGGCAGAAATCTACAGAAACATTCTTGTGTGTCTCTTACCCAGATGTGGGATCAACTGCCACACTGGTGGGCTGCCATATGTCTACAGTGATGAGGTTCCTCTGGTGCTGTCCATCTAATGTTATCAAATCTATTCTTTGTCCAGCCAGGTCAACTACATACAAATTATTTCCTGAAAAATAGAACACATTTGCGTCCCTGAGCTTGAAACTTGACTGATGTCATCAACCTCGAGTTTCTCAATACTTGCCTTGATTTACTTTTCTGTGTCCCTTTTTTATATGTCCATTTTGTGACATCATAATTTCCTTTCCCCATTCCATTAATAACTAGATTATTGCCTTAAACAGAAAGCTTTTTTTTACATAATATCTAATTTAATTCAAAATATAAATTAGCCTTTTAACGTAGCCCCTTTATTCTACTGCAATTTGAAAGGTACAAATAGCTGTAGGTTATGCATTATTGAATGATAGGGAAAACTCGGGAAATTTTGAAACCACTGTTTGCAACGTTTCAATCTACAATTTAAGTGTAGAAAACAATGCACACTCTAAAAAGGTCTGTTTGCCATGGTTTTCACAATCTTACATCATCAGAATGAAATACATTTTTAAGTTTCCCAATAATTCCCATTTCCACTTGAGCAAATTCTTCTGTATTTCTTTTATTTGGCTCTAAGCCAAGTGTTGAGTCAAATGTGGGTCTGCTGTTGTCTCAACCCCCCTATTCTCACCATTTTCAGAAAACATTATCTACAGCTCCCTTTACACTTTTATAGTAAATGATGACAAGATAAACAATTGTGAAAAATGTTTTCAGGTGAATATGGGCAATATTGAGTGAAAAAAAGGGTAATCTAATTGGATCATATTACTAATACAAAGCAAAAACCAACATATAATGGGGGAAAAACTACGGAATGGATACTAACTAGAAAGTAGTTTACTAGTATACATCTAGAACTTGCCTATTTAACTGTGGTAATGCAGGAAGTATTCATGTGACCTGACACTGTCAGGAACAATCCATATTACCCAGTGTCATTTTTTTGTTTTGTTTCTGCAACAGTTTTTTTTATAATGAACCTTGAAGTGACTCATGGGAAGTCTATTGTGTTTTCAGCTGGCAATTACAAATGCTGAGAATCAAATGCAAATGAACTTTCTCAACGTTTACAGAATCATGTAATTAAATGGAAAGGAAGAGCATTAACATGTATTACAGATAAAATTTATAACAATTTAGAATATATCTGAAAACAACTACAAAATTTTCTCAAAACAAAATCACTCAACTATCAAAGTTGAGAAAGAATTGGAAAAAAAAATTGCACTTCTTTTTTTTTATCTCATATTACTCCAAAACACTTACCCACAGGCAAACATGTTTTAAATTTCAAAAAGTCTTAGGGTCACTTTCTAAAATATTTCAGAAAAATACTTAATTTCAAATCTTGCCTTTTGGGCCCTAGGTGGAATGTTTAAAGTGCAGTCACATAAATTTACCAACATGATTAACCATGAAGCCACTTCAACAGGTAGCAACAAGTGAGAAACTTTAACCATGTTATGACACCAGACACGGATGGATACTTTTGTCTGGGAGAGCACCTGTGACAGGTTTTGATCTTATCTTTGCAAATGGTGTGCGTTTGACTATTTACATCACTCCAACAATAACCAGAATCTATTTTTTATTCTTCGTTAGCATGGTGGTTTTAAACGGAAAATAAATTAGTTTTGCGAAATTAATATCACACCCCTGCTTTTTACTGAATAAGCATTATCCAACCTATAATTATTTGCCTAAAACACAAAGAGTTTTTTTTAACTTTAATAGCAATGTCACCAATGCTTCAGCTGTAAAGTAATTGTAGCAACTAATGGCCTTGTCCAATAAATTTATAGTGGTATCAAGTAGTACAAGGTAGACATGACTCATTTCAATCAACATACAAGTACAAACATTCTCACACAGTTCTCTACTGACAGACTTTTTTCAATATGTTATTCCTATATGGTCTACCTGAAAAACTTTAGGGATAAAATTATAACACATAATAACAGAAGTTATTTATATTCACCTATCCAATCCACTGCCACATCTACTGGATCACTGACACCTTTGATATTAAGTTCCTTTCTGTTACTTCCATCCATGCTAGCTTCATATATCTAAAGCAAATATAAAAAAAAACAGTTGTATTCATTTCTAGTCTAGAATCAAGTAACAAAATATACAAAAGTGTAGTTTCCATAAAATGTAATATTCTTTGCACTATTCTATAATGCTTATCTGTTTGTATATAATTTCATGTAAAAGTTTGTATAACATGATATATTTAGTCCATGCATATGTTTTCATTGCACAATCATTACACTCAATTTTCATATAAAAGTCAATTTTTCATTAAAAAATCAAACATCCACATCCTCTGGTTATAGAAGAAAAAAAAACATTTAAAAGGTCATTAAGAAAAATGACAAAACATATTTGAAAGATACCTTGGCATTCTTGGTATCTGACCAGTACATTTTATTACTGGTCAAGTGATAGTCCAGAGCATCTACTGCTGACTGGACGTTAACTCCATTGTTTCTATTGCCATTTTTGTCCACTTCGTAAATTGTGGTTCCTTTGCCAAACATCAACTTCATAGAACTACCTGAAAAAAAAATGACCATGTTTAGCATGGTAAAATAGAAAATAGAAAGATGGTTTAAGATAAGTGAATTATTTGAAGTTATCCATATTTGGGAGAGGTACAAATGAAAATTACAAGTATTTCAATTAAGAATGCTAAACAAATGCACAAACAAACACAAAAATAACAATAATAAATAAATTTTTTGAAAAAAAAACAAAGAAGAGATGAAAAATGATACATTTATTTAATATGTTCAAGTGCGTTATAATAACAACACAATTCTTGAATGACAATTTCTGAAACAGATGTGCGAGTACAACCAACCACTGCATCAAGTCATCAAGAGCATTTTCACAATTTACAGGCCACAGGTCAAGGTCACCCTTGGCTTCAATACACAGCCTGCAGTACACAAGTAACCCCTAACTGTTCTAAGGACACAATTATGCCAACAATTTGGCTTCAAGGAAAATAACAAAACTAACACCAGATTGCCACTTCTGGCACACATTTTCCCTTCCATTTTTCAGTGTTAAAAAAATCATGTTATTATCTCGTCAGTGAAGCAAGATAATATTACTGCCTAGCAGGCTAGTGCCACTTCGTGCCACACTTCACTGCCAAGCCTTTATCTCACATCACACTTCCAGTCATTACTCAAGAAACATCAACCAGTGTGGAGACTGTGGAAACAACTGCACAGTTATTACTATACTGACACCCCTTCCCTTTTGTATCCCAAAGCTATGACCATTGTCCAGAACAATGACTCATGCTGCCCGCACTTTTGAAATGATATACCAGGGTATGCATTAGGTATGGTGGCTTCCAGCACTTTATTAAAATAATTTAAATCCCTGGACATTCTGTCCCTAAATTCTCCCTCGTTTACATGAAATAACCAAAGTTAATGTCTCAGACTTAACATGTCTGAGTAAGCCTCTAGGCATGGCTACATTCTATAAATTCCTATCAAATTATATCCTAAAATTGTTTAAGTTTGTAAGTTATTGACAGATATCTACAATCAAAATATGATTTATACTAATGTATACTAAAGCCATAATAAAATAAAAATATAAATATTATCTATACCAATTCAGTATCATAAACTACAATTAACTCATAGATAACATATCGCAGATAACTCATAGACCCCATTCCCAGAGTTTAGATCGATCCAACTAGATCGGCCTAACTCCCTGGGGGTTCACACTAAATAGCTGTCAGCCGAACGGGCACAAAAGTTAATTACCCCCTTACAGCTTGTAGCTGGACGGACATTTAAGCCAGATTATGTGACAGTAATCTAGTGAGACTCCCCATGGGGATAGATCGATCTAGAATGCACCCATAGTCTGTTTTTATTGTTGCAAGACTCAAAGAAATTGTGATCATGCTAGAAAAAAAAAGTTGCATTCACTGTCTTCTCTCTCATGACTACATATTAAAGGACAGTCTAATGAATGAAAAAACTAACAACTTACTATTTGGGGCGACACATTTCTTGGTACCCTGTAAGGTATATCCAGTATGGCAGCCGCAGGTATATCCACCATTGGTGTTTTGGCAGGTTTGATCACAAGACCAAGGTCCAAAATACGAGCATTCATCAAAATCTGTGAACAAAATTGATTAAGTATTACTATCTCAGCACATGTAGCTATGGAGGGAAAATCAAAGATAAATTCACAAGTATGATTGAAATGTATGTAAAGGAAGATGCATATGGGGAAAATGTTCTTATTATTATCATTCAATAATTTAAAAAAAAATCAAACATTTTAACACATTTTGAAGGTTTATAATGATTTGTTATTCACATAAAATACTACTTGCCATGATCCCATCTTGTTTCATCTCTTAGGATTATCTTTTTTGTGTGTATTACTAACAAAATATTGATTTTGGAAGTAAAATTGATCAAATGTGTACAAAATTAGCAGGTAATTAGACAAATTACAAGTCTGGGAGCTGTGTGTGCAAATAACTGTCAGCCTAACAAACATTTTCACTGCAGGTAATATTTTGAACTTGCAATAAGAAGTAAAGGTTTCAAATATCAACAAGAAAGATCAAATGCAGTCAAGGAAATGACAAGAGAGATAAACCAAAGCAATGCCATGCAATGGGAACTTCAATCATTTTAACAGATATTTTAGTTTTTCAGTCATCCCCATACTAACCAACACAAGTCCTGTTATCAGCAGGATCAAGAGTAAAGCCAGTGTTACAATAACAGGTCCCGCCTGTAGGGGTGGGCTGGCAATGGTGGTCACAGGACAGTGCACTACAAAAGGTGCCACCTACAAAAGAAAAAGATGATGTATGTTCAAATTAATGGCACCAGGCCCTGAAAATGAGAGCAGGTACCATAGGGGAGGGATGTGCCTTTTGTGCCATGTTAATGTACTTCTTGTAGCCTGCTATATCACAGTCACTGTGGTATTGAGATACTGGTAATGTGCCAGTGTTATAAGAATGTTTGGGGTTTGTTTCTTTTTTTTATTTCCTGCAGTGCATCATATGATGATTTCCTTATCTTATGTGTATATATGAGACTTACAAGAAGAGCACAATTCAAAAGAATTTTTAAAATGTATAGACATGGTTTAATTTCAAAATTTTTATATAAGAAAAGTGCACGAACAAAAAAAAAAAAAAAAAAAACAATAAAGAAGATCATCATAAGAAAATTTGGTCTGGGCATGTTTTCAAACATTTCTGGGTACATTTCAAAAAACACCAGGGAGAGTCTCTTCAATTCGATCATTAAATATGATACAGAACTGCAGGTAGAACAGTGACATTCAAGTATTCTTGGTATGGTAATACTACAGTGTCATGCAGTGGTCAAGACTGGTCAAGACTGGTCAAGACTACTCAAACCACCTGTTGCGGATGGCTGTACTTAACAACCTGGTTGGGCCAGTCGGCCTTCAAAATACCCTGAGGCTGTACATGAGAACTCGCATATATAGACTCTGCCATGTGTATGGGAGCACTGCAGTGTTATTATGAAAATCTGGGTTATGTGAGAGACTTGTCTGTATGGGTGATGTTGCTTTGGGTATCAGCATATCATTGCTGTTATGAGTTATATTCAATATTGCTGCTGCTGCAGAATTAAAAAAAAAAACAGGATTTGCAATACTGTTTCAAGTAAAATTATCCTATTCTATCCATGGCAAAAATCAAGATGTTAGTTTACATCAAATTTTCTTCAATTCCATCATGTGGACTTGTAAATATATTTCTTTCAAAAACCAAATCTTTGCACAGAATTCAGAAAGATGCAATTTTCTTCATTTAGGTCATATTCAGTAAAAAAATGATGGTTAACCCCAAAAAAGAACCTTCACTAGAGTTGTTGTCTGCATATCCCTAGATATCAATAAGCAATTTCTTTCAAATGCAAGAAATCTTCTGATAGAGCTCACCAAAGCTCTGAATGTAATTGACTTTCATGAGACTTCATCAAAATGGCCCCATATATTGTAATATTCTCCCAGGAAACAACTGACAGAATTACTCTTCCAGAATGTCATCACTGAGCTTGCAATCCATTCATCATTCCTACACCATACTACGATAAGCTTTAGGAGTCTGTGCTCTTTGTAGAATTGGAAAAGGATGAGCAATTAACTTTGGATTCTAAGCTATGTGTCTTCTATCACAAGTAATTTGTTTAAATATTTGTTACAAATATATGAGCAACATGAGAACCTTTTAGAAGCTAACATTACAACAAAAAGAAAGGCACTGTAGCAGCCTAAAAGGAAGAAGAAACTTTTCACTTCCCAACATGTTCCTTCATTTTGTGATCAAAATGGATTTGCTATTAGGGTAAACTTTAAGTTACTATTATAATTATGTGCACATCTTATTTACTTCCCCAAAAAACTTTTTGGTTGCTAATTTTTGTGCAAATCAACATAAACAAAACAATGACAGGCTGTGACTTACTACATGAGGTTGCTTCATCACTCCCACGCATGCAATCTCTGTTTCTATCACAGACTTTGGTTATGTTGATACACATTCCATCCTCAGTACATGGCCATTCCTCAGGGCCACAGGAATAAAAACCTGTAAAATATAACGATAAATAATGTACAATATTTCAACGTTATCAATTAATTTCATTCACTAAATCATAGTAAATGATGAATTATGTATAATATATTAACATTATCAATTAATTTTATTTTCTAAATTCTTTTTCATCCAACTGATTTTATACAACCTTCAAAATAATTCACCTCTGAATAGTTCTGATCATTTGACCAAGGTCTAATTGACGGTACAGATTGGTTAAAACATAAAGATAAACATCTCATTTCTACTCTATAATATGATATTCTCTTGACAAACACAGCATTTCCCCAGATAAATCAAGGAGGTTGATTGTGCATTTATACATGACACACTTATTTTAGCAATAGATCTATTAACTCCAGGAACACTGCTAAGTTTCGTGCATTGCAAGAGCTAAAATGATAAGACTTTTTGTGGTAAGGTTTACATCAATGACTGAACACGCATAAGAATTTGAACTTAATATTTTCATCTAGGCACCCAGGCAGGCAGGATTTGTTCAAATTTGAAGCATTGTCTCTGCATCTTATTCAAACTAAATATGTGTATCTTCTTTTTACTAACTTAAAACACAAATCCAGGGATTATTTGCTTTTTGGCTTTGGATAGTATACAAATACTATAAGTTCCAGAGGAAAAAAAGCATGAATTAATCTTTAGAATACAAGCTTCTTGAATCCTAATTCTATATGACAGGGAGAGTTAACTGATGGTAACTTATTCACACTATAAACTGCTCCTCATGAGCCTACAACTTTAATGCATTCACAACAATCCCAACTTAAAACTAAAATAGGATCTGATTAAAATCATTAGATAACTGGATTATTTAGGGACCTTTCTACACTTCAGAATTGAAAATCCCAAGTGAAATGGTTTGGCCACCTTGTGATGTCAGTTAAAATATGTCCAGCCTAATTTAGTCCCACTGTGAACATGGCCTCAGTTCATGCAAAATACTTCCATGCACCTAAATCAAAGCTTAGATCACATTTTCACCCCATGCTACTTCACAGAACTCACTGGAGAGAAAGTAATACTCAGAGTCAACAAACTCTCTAAAGTTAATATACCTAATCTTTTGATAAACAAAGGAGTGTATGTATTGTTCTTCTAACTATTAAGGTTTTGACTCCATATGTAAGGAACTTCCCTCCTGGCTCTCTGATTAAAAGGACAGAGAAAAGCACAACCTTTTACTTTTACACTCTTTTACCACAAGCACTCAAAACTGGAGTGCTGTGGATAAAAATAATAAAGTTGATGGTTTTTCTTTTTTTTCTTCCCGTTACCAAGTCTTCTAACTTACCTTCCTTGTCCATTAACATCAAGTGATACTGATGGCTGCTGGTATGCAAAAATGAATGCCTTTAACATCCTGGGGATTTCAACCCAAATTGTTGTTGAACTTCAGATTTCAAAGAACAAGTTTTTTGATAGGGTCAATGCTCTTGGGAATTGTGGAAATATAACCTGTTAGCGAAGAGCACCCGAATAGTGCTCTTCTGTCATAACAATTATGCGCCCAGAATTCGGCAATATACTCCATAGTGTTTCAGTTCTTCTTTTTCCAGAAAATTACTTGACAGAAGGTCAGGTTGTGTTATATCTTATCTCTTCCTTTTCCGACTCTTTTACCGACTAGTAGCCAGCTAACTTACCATCTCTCCTTTCAAGCTTGGCTCCAACTTATGTTGGATTGTACATGTAGTTAAATGCTGCCCCTAACCCATCCCCATACTAAAACCCTTTATTAAATGTCATTGCACAGACTAACCATCAATGACAAACTTTTGACAATCCTTCAAAATGGTCTTTTAATTTCGTTGCCTAGCTGTCAAGCAGATCATCTTTATTTTATTTTCAACATCAGCTTGACAGTGAGGTATCAAAATCAATACAAATCTGACTGGATCCTAATATGTTACTATTCTATCATCATTCACAACTGAATATAAAATGTGACATGGCTAAGGCTCCTCATGGAGCAGTATATTCTAGTGATACAGCTGTATCAGCATACTTTGAGAGAATGATAACTTAGAGTTTGACTATTACCGGTGCTTCAGGGTGCGTTCACAATGAATCTATCATACATGTACCAGCTAGTGCACACTTGTTCCAAGAGGACTATTGCTGAATGTAATCAGACTAACAGATATATATATCCCTCCTACTGGGGTTCAGTAGAGTACAGAAAAGCTGGTGATTATACAAGTACATTGGAAACAAGAGGGGGCATGTTAATCTGTTAATTTGAATGCATTCAGCTAGAGAACCTGTGGATTTAGAGCACACCAGCTTGTATGATAGATTCATTCTGAACATACCTTAAATTAGCAATGATTATATTCATCTACTTTGGCCATATAAAAATCTGTACTTGTCCATGAAAATTACCAAATATTGATCTGAAACACAAGCCATTCCTTTGTCTTTTGTGAAATTGGTCCATTATTTTATCTAAGTAGAATACTACAACCACTGATTTTATCATGATCAATTAGACTACAATACAGCTTTAAAGTTAAGCTTTAACTTTTTTTTTTTTTTTTTTTTTGATGAGTGGCGTTTTTTTCAGAACAAAGTATTGCTGAAAATTAGGAAATTGTACAGCAATGTTCATCAAATTTGCAGTATGGTTTGTTAAAAAGAGAAAGTGCAATCATGTGTAAGATAAATTATTATTGTAAAACAGGAAGAAATCTGTCATGTATGGAACTAGATGAAATATGCTGTACATGTACAGCTAAAACTATATAGTAGCAAAGTAGCATTCTATCATTTTTCTAGTTATTTAGCTACCTCATACTGCTGAAACATTCAATTTATAAACCTAAAACTAATGAACTATAACAACCTTTTTCTAAAAAAACTGCTCTATTTCAACATTCTGAACTTTTCAATTTTAAGACAATGAGGCATGATGCGTATCAAATTACTCTTCATGAGATAACAAATAATTGCATTTTTTATAAAATAAGCAGGTGATGAACACGAGTGAGTTTTGGTAATGACATATTTTCCTGATAAGTTGATTCAAAATCATAAGTAATTTATTCATTTTCCCATTAACTGTTTGGGTATATAATACATACAGTTATCAAGTCAGCACCTACATAAATTCTTTAGATGTGCCTTTTTTTTAACATGGCTCATGTTTTTTATGTATTCTGGATCTTTTACAAAGTCTATTGTTGGAGTGTTTCATTCATATTTTAGTTATGCTATTAATTCCATAGTAATCACAAAAAGAGAAAAGCATTCCAGGCTTTAAAACACTAGCATAATAACAAATTTTCCAGCATGTTTTGCTTAAAAGACAAAGGTATTATTTAGCATTAATGGTACTACTATTTTGGCTTCACCATGGGTATACAATACTTAAGAAAAAATTGTTTCCTTTACACAAAACCAAAAATTCAACAGGTGTGTGTGTGCATGTGCATGTGTGTGTATGTGTGCATGCAAGTGTTTAAATGTATGCCCCAATTTATGCACCCGTTTATGCTAGTGTGGGTGTATGCACCTGAACTTGGGTCTCAGCTTCACTCAAATCTGTAATGACAGGGACTTTTTTTATAACCAATCTAGTATGTGGCCACCCATAAGCTGAAGGCACAAACTGACACTCTGAAGTACGTTCATCCCTAGACCACTAGCTGTAAGCATTTATAACCAGATCTCCTAATATAGCCTGGACTTAGTTTTTCATTCTAGCTTGCTTATTAAAACTTTCATATGAATCAAAAACTGTTAAGATTTAATTAGCAAAAGGTAAAATGTATCAAGTTGTTCACAACTAATATTGTATAAAGTGATGCCTTTTCCTAAATTATTTGAATTCCAGCGCCCATTAATCCCCCCTCCCCCACCTCAAAAAACCTTACATAAGCAAATAACTTCCTTAAATGTCTGACAATATGAAATTAGATCCAAGATTTTGAGATTCATACCTTGACAGTTAGTAAAAAGGTATGGATCTTCAGGTAATAAATCCAACTTCTTTATAAATAAAGAGGAACCTGTGCAAAAATTCAGTTGGGTAACTGTAGCATTCTTAATTAATCCTTTTTCAATCATAATGATGATGAGCTTATTGTTATCACTAATAAAAGATCAAAGAGTTCAAAATCCTTTACCACAGCCTTGTTCATCAGAGTTATCTCCGCAATCGTTGGCACCGTCACAGACCCAACTCTGAAATGTACATTTCTTGTTGCCGCACTGGAACTGGTCCCCATTACAAGCTGGATAGGCTGGAAAAGAATGCGACAAGTATGAAGGGACACTTCCATTAAACTTAAAGGAGCAATGTATGAATTTTTTTATTTAAAAATATAATCAACACATTTTCTTCAGGTCTTTAACTAATGTTTTTTTTAGTATCTAGTATTAAGCAACTATATCACTCTAGCTATCAAGTTCAAAAGTAAAAAAATACCCATCACACACAAGTTTTAGCAGGGGTAGTGATTTCAAGAAAGGACACAGAAATACTCTATACACTGAGTCCTAAAAAGGCCCATTAAAAAGATGAGACTTACTTTCAAAAATAGAATTTTTTTTTATATTTAAAAATGTGTGAAGTAACAGGGTGACTTTAATCTCTGTTAAAGCATGGATTTTTTACTCCTCTAAATATATGAGTAATAAAAATAACTGGTTCAGAAACAGAAATTTAAGAAGAGGTTGAATGAGCACTTTTTATCCTTTGTAACCTTAAGCTTTCTTTGTTCCCATCTCTGAGGACATCACTTAAAAGAAAGAAATGAGCTTTAAATAATTTACCATATTTCTGGAATTAAAAATAGTCTTGAGGAAATGTTTGAATGAATAACCATTTTCTCAAGACTATTTTAGGAGGTTGTTTGTTTTGTTTAGAAAACAGTCTCTCAGAAGGTCTTTTGGATGACACTGCAAGATTTTAGGACAAAGACCCAGTTTGCATATCTGGTTTTGTAAACATATCCTTAGATGTACATATGGCGCCTTGCATTGTATTTGTAGAAAACATCACAAACAAGTTCAGGCACATTTCAAAGATTACTCAATATACAGGTACAAAGATACCACAAACAATAAAAATATTGGATTGAATAAACAAAAACAAGTTTTAAAAATCTGGATTCTAAGGTTGAGGTATTTTAAATCCCCATGCAAGCTGTAGCAAGCATGCATGATCATGTTTCCCCAGACTGCCTAAATGTCACCCACAAAATTGAATTAATTTTTTTTTACCCATGATCTGTTCCGGGCCTCCTTTCCAAGCCTTGATGATTAAAGTTTTGCAAAAGCTTAGTTCAAGTTCAAACGACAACCATGCCCCAAATATCAACATCACCTGACCATAAGATAATCATCTGTGTGATTTGTTTAATTTCATTTTTATTTTCAAAATTAATCTGTGCATATAGTTGGTCTAGTTGAACATCTCATAGCCGGTTGAAAAGTAAAAAAGACTTCAACTGAACATAAAACCAGATGTTCCCATGGAAATCAAACCCTTATACTAACAATGCTCCTGTAACCATTTTCTTTCCTCACCACCAGGCTAGTGCCATAGTAGACCATAGTAAAGCTTTTGTACCTTTTTTTCCTTTACTTTTTGGTAAGAATTGTTAAAACAATTACCAAAATAAAGAAGCCAATCCTGGTTGGAAATTTTAAACAACTGTATTATTAAGACAAGTTCTAGGCACAGCCGTAGGTATGCAACTCTTTTATTCTCATACTGGTTACATTTAACTATATGGGTTTCAACTGTGTGAGGGAATGCACTATGTACTGTGCAAGTTCCAGCAGACTGTAAAATAAGGCAAAACTGGATATTAAAAAGGGAACCAATCATGGGTTCATTTTACCTTTCTTTTTTGCTCAATGTCAATTTGGGTCATTTAATCTTGTTTTTTAATGTTATTTAGTGTAAAAACAAACAGTTTTATAAACATTCAATGTGCTTAAAACCACATCATCCTGTGAAAATATCAATTCAACTTTTAAATAATTAACACAAGGGTTTACTTTTTATCAGAATGCCAAAGAGTAAACTGCACCCAAGTAAACTTTTGTGCAGCCATAGAGTCAATTATATTAACATTCATACTTTGAAAAAAAAAATGAATCATAAAGATCCACACAGGGTCTTAGAAGTACTGTCTAACAAACTCCAAGATACGCATCATTGCACTTGATCCTTCACACACACACACACACACACACACACACACACACGCACACATCACTATATTATAATGATAAAATTGCTGATTTTTAATTTTCCTTACTGCAGTTATATTCATCAGAGCCATCTCCACAGTCATCATCATGGTCACAGCGCCAAGTAGAAGGAATACAACTACAGGTATTATTACATGGGAAGCTTTGGGCATCACAACTACCATCTGGACAGGCTGAAAAAAAAGTCAAAAATTATATAAAATAATTCCTCAAGTTTGTTTTTTCTCATATTTGTACAACATACAAAAAATGGAAAAAACTGCTCACATCTGCATCATTGTATTGATTTTTCTTTACAAATTGTGCATATAAAGAGATAACTTTTGTTCTGTAACCATCACCATTTCATGCATAAGGGCCATTTAACTAAATCAAGTTGAAAATGAATGAGAATAGCAGTTCCTCATCTAAAATCTTTTTTTTTTTTTTTTTTTTTTNACTGCTCACATCTGCATCATTGTATTGATTTTTCTTTACAAATTGTGCATATAAAGAGATAACTTTTGTTCTGTAACCATCACCATTTCATGCATAAGGGACATTTAACTAAATCAAGTTGAAAATGAATGAGAATAGCAGTTCCTCATCTAAAATCTTTTTTTTTGGGGGGGGGGGAGGGGGGCAATTAATAAGAAAGGAAACTGGAGCAAACAGATCTCTTTTTTGTTTCTCTTTTTCTTTTTTCAAGTTAACATAAAAAAGAGCCAACCATTTTTTTGCAATGCCTGGATATCAGTTGGGCAGAGGTCCACAGGCCACGTGGCTCCAGACGGGATCACATGCAGGAGTCTGACATTTTTTCTGGTCAGAATTATAATTATTTACATTTTCCATAATAAGAAAGGAACAAAGTTCGTTGCATGTGGTACTCAGAGTTTAGGGGGCTATGATAAACTATTCAGGCCATTCTTTCAAGCATTTGTGTATGTTCTATAGCATTTCAGACATGTTGCTCTCACAGCTGTGTAGCATTACATGGACCTTTTACACAACATCAAGTTTTCATTTCAGAAATCTCGTTTCAGATGCAGAATTAAAAAGAAGATGGAAATTTTCAAGCTTAAAGTTGAGGTCGTTTGTCTTGGTACATGTAGGAACCAAAAAGATGGTACCTACATTATTTTGAGATATTTTTCAAAATTAAAGCAAGAAGAAAAATTATAACTCATCAAGAAAAAAAAACTCTCTAGTATACCAGGGGCACCTATGAACCAAACAGTTTTACCACTTTTTTTTTTAGTTTAATTGCCATTTATACATTTCTAGTAAATTTCTGCACAGTGCACCCATTTCCACACATACAGGTTTCCAATCTCAACTACTGATAAGCTTCTGTGTTTTTATCTAGAAGCAGCCCTTCACCCTTATAAATTACTTCATGTGCTATCTGTCTTTTGTGACGGCATCTTCCATATAACTAAATACATCACTGCATTTGATAGACCAAGGGCCAAATAGTTTTTTTTTAGCTCTTTATTATCCAAAAGAATATACCAAACATTCCATTATTACATAATTTGTGTGTTTGCAAAGCAATTGATAGTAAGATCACATTCCATACTATGCTGTATTGTAAAAATGAGATACAGAAATCTGGATGCAAGGTAGCTCTACAGGAAAATTTGTTTATTACAGTAATAGCAGTCATAAAATAAGTTTTTGAAGGCAAAAATAAAACAAAATAAATAATGTGTGGAAACAAAAAAAAAAAAACATCGGTACTAATCTGTGACATGGCGCTGGGCTGTGTGGAAAATAGTTAGATGTGTGGAACTTCGATAAACTCTCATAATTGTATATGGTAGTTAAGCCTGTACTCTACATTAGAACTCTACTAATGAAAAGCACAGGTGGTTCAGGCAGTGTATTAAAGTGGAAAGCATGGCTACTGCCAAATTTATTCTACTGATAAGACAGACATGCAGGGGTGTGATCCATCCCACCTAGCAAAGAGTGGTCCCAGTTCATTTTTCAACTGCTGGATGTGTGTTTAAGAGGATTTTAAAAGCCAAACATTAAATCCTTGACGCTGCAAAGAAAGCAGGTGTCTTGCAGTAAAAATCAGCCAAACATTAAATCCTTGACAATGCAAAGAAAGCAGGTGTCTTGCAGTAAAAAAACTTAACTCCATATAGATATACATATGATACACCAAACACGTTTCTTTCTTATAAACACCAAATGCTAGATTGCATTGTTGTTTCAACCTCTAGATGACTTAAGAGGACCCCATGCTCTGCAGAAATCAGTTGCGGAAAAAAAAACTTCTGTAGGGAGGGCACTGACCGATAACTAGGTGCAAAAACTCTCACTGAAGAAATCACATTCCATTTGTTTCTTTTAGATATGAAAACGCTTCCTTGCAACATGAAATGAAGTTACCATTAGAATAAACGATCAGCTGTAAATTTTTGTTTTTGCAGCTGGGATCGTCGCGTACGTTTGACCTTCTCGGGTAGTCCCAATGTATTCTATGTGAAATCGACAAATAAGAGACTAATTCAAGGAAATTATGCACCCGGCTTATAGTCATTCAAGTCTATATGCGTGTAAAAGAATGCACCGGTATTCGTTTTGTTTGAGAAACCGTCGTGACTCAAAAGAAATCGCAGCCAGATCAAAATTACGCAACACACCACTGCAGCTACATTCATCATTTATTAGAGCGTAAAACATACCGACTCGCCGCCGTTCATCGACGGACCCATTCAAAGAAAACAAAGCAGCAAAGAACATGGAAAAGTCAACTTACTTGCAACGCTAACGTGAATCAAAGCAAGAAGGAAAACTCCAACAGCTCCTCTGGCCTTCATCCTTGCTCATTAATGTTAAATGCTGTTAACGTAAACATGGAAACGTTACTGGTGATTTTCTCAGTTCACTTCTCCTCCTCTCTGTCCTGCTTTCTCGGTGCACTGTATCCTTGGCTGATGTTCAAGATGCTCTGTGACCTCGTGCCCCGGAACAAGTGTGAGGGAAAGTGAAGTTTGCTTCGAAACAACGTGAGTTGTGCTATCCAGATCAGCGGTAACAAACCGTCAAAAGATGTTATCACGGCGCTCCGCCGATAACTACGGTCCACTGCGCAGAATGGGCCCCTGTTTGCTTTGTGTTAGTTCTCAGAGTGAATAGTCTACAAGTGGTGGCCGCGCGGTAAGTTGACAGTTTGGACAGGTTCTATCCACATTCAGGGCAGCAGCTGGTACCTCCTAGCACCGCTTTCTCCGAGGGAAGATCGAATTTCACCCCAATTTTACTAAGACACTTCTTTGACGTTAAATAACAACTCAAGTTGACTTTTTTCTATTTCTTTCTATTTTTATCGTCGATCTCATTTAGATACTTTATTATTCCATATCGCCATTCGTAGTTCCAAAATTTTATCTCGTAAAAGTGAATTGGCTCAATATAGACTAGGCTATTAGCACAACACTATTGTGAATCTTTTTTTTTTTTTTTTCTTGACATGCTGTAGAAAGTTGCAACGATTTGGTGTATTATGTTGTGATAGAAGTTCCAATCTTTCGTCAGAGCTGATTACAAGGGAGTGAATGCGTTTGGCACAACTAGTTTACATGGGCGTGGATGTGTTTGGCTCAACTAACACATTTCGCCGTTACCATACCCACCCTGTTGCCTAAAGAACCAGGCCCTAAAATGGTGGAGCATATATATATATATATATATATATATATATATATATATATATATATATATATTTAATTCCAGTCGTTTTGTTAATTGATAAATCATAAAATTTTCAACGGTTGCCACAGGGTTCTGATTTATGCTAAAACAGAAGCCAAAACAATTAAGAGATGAAGTCAATGATATCACTCACTTTGCTTCGTAAGAAAATAATTTATTAATGTGGCATTTAACTGTGTAAACAAGTACACATGAAACATTTCAATAAATCAAACAATACAATCATTTTTAAAAATCAGTGGTTACTTAAAATCAATTTGCTATCAATTTGGCATTTGAGGTTGGCAGAAACCATGTTGATTTTTGCAGGGTAATGTCGATACTTCCCCCACACCGATAATCCCCCTTGTAATTTTTTGTATTATGCGCATCGATACGACCCCACACCGATAGATCCCCGCACCGATACTTCCCCGCACCGATACTCCCCCTCAGTATATCTGTAATTGTGGGGGGAGTAACGGTGCGGGGAAGTATTGATGCGGGGATGTATCCACATGTAACCATTTTTGCAATGCCAGTATAAAGAAACCCATACAACATGGCTATACAGGCCAGTATAGTCCTTTAAAGTGGACATCAGAATCTTGACCTAACATGCATTAATTTATCTGTGTTATAAAACCATAAGTTAACAGCACATTTTCATCTAAAATGGCATACCATCACACTGTCATAAAAATTCACAGACATTCAAAGCCTCTATGCAACTCCCCAGATTACATTTTTCACAGTATGTTTAACATTGAACAATATTATTAAGTATCTGAGATATTTAACAATTCAAAACATGAAGTTGGTGATTAACTTATGAAAAAATATTGATCTTCATTGTATATTTAAGGGATTAATCAAAGTATATATAAATATATTTGAATAAACATGCCTCCTGAGGATCGGACATAACCATAGGGTATGTCTGTGAAACCTGGAGTAGAGGCACTTAATTTTTATTATCATATAAAAATTCTCCCTTCAGAATTGAACACTATAGAAACTATATATATATATATATATATATATATATATATGTTTAGAGTTTTTATTTCATCCAAGGCAAGTGCTCAATGTCAGTATTCCCTCCACAGAGAATGACACCTACTTTCTTCATGTCGGGTGTCAGTTTTTTCATCTTGTCAGAGAGAAGAGCAGCCACACCCACACCTGAGCTGGGCTCAATCACTTGCTGAAAACGGTATAGGAAATCAAGTTTAAAAAGTTGTAGTTAGATTGTACTGTGGAAAATAAACAGGAATTTGGAACATTCAAATGATAATCAATAGATAATATCTAATTTCATAGGTTTCATTCATGAGGCAAAACAAATTCCAAAAATTAAGATTTTTTTACTTCTAAAATAAATGTTCAGCATACCTTCATTCTCTGATACACTAACTTCATTGCTTCTATGATGTCATCATCACTCTAAATAAAAGTTAAACAAAAATATATCATAATATGATTAAAGCATTAAAAACAACAGTGTCTTTATATTGACTGAACATATTAAAGCACCGGACCTCAATTGGCACTCTAGGAGATTGTCTATAGCATTGTATGTATGTGCAGTTAATTTTCTCTTTTAGATTATCAATTTCATATGGAAAACTACAAAGAAGCAGAAGAAATAAAGTGGCATGGATCAACTGCAAGCTGCTGATAATATTTTGGTAATATTTTCTTTTCAAATGTGTATACATTTGTCAGAATACTTTATGTAAATGGTATTATAAGATAACATGTTTTATTTGATTACAATAAAAACAACAGTGTTAGCAGTTGGCTCTCCCAGTGAGATACAGTTTGGTTGTTGCTGTTGTTAATGGCGAGTATTAAGAGAGAATTCTGTTAACATTGTGAACTCTGCCACAAAACAGCTTCTGAGAACCCACATCAATAATAATAATAATAATAAATATAATAATACAATTTTTATCTTTCAGAAACACTTCTGTGTAGTTTGGTTTTGAACATAAAAGACAAGGGCACTTTCAAAAGATAAGATGGAATAGATGGGATTTATTACCCCCATGCCACAAAGCATGAAGATCTCAGACTTCCGATGGATGAGAGGCTTATGGCCTAAATGATCAATATTATTTATACTCACAGTTGTAAAAACATCTTTTTCTACCAATTCCAAAACAACTGGAAAGGTCAGTGTTCCCAGTCTCTGCACCCTCAGGCCATCAGCAATGGTATCTACAAACTTGGGTGGATCTGGCCACATTGGTTTACCTGCCTTAAGGGAATACTCCAGGTCTTTGCCTTTAGGCTCACATGCAAAAACTGAAAAAAAAAAACTACATATTTGTGATAAAAGTCCTACAGAAAATCAATTTACAAATAAAACTTTGAACATATATGACTGTGAATCTCTGGCCCTTCCATTTGCAATTTATGTGCCATTTCATGCACCCTGAGTGTCAGAGCAACGTAAAAGCTAGCTTGTTAAATATACCTTGTGATGGGGGCGCTTTTACTAGCTCTGACGAACAGCGAAAATCTGAGGGCGTTCTTCTTCAAAATTTTGCCTGGGGCGCTTCCATATTTGGAAGTCACACGTCACAGCTGTATCCGCCTGGATCCATATTTGGAAGTCATAAGTCTCGTACGTCACAGGTTTGGACGCCTGGAGCTGCCTTTCCCACCTAGCGCTGAAGTTATCTCGTGCAGACGAGACAAGAAGCAATTAAAGTGCCTAACGCGGAGATAGAAGTTTAAATTGAAATTATCTTGCAGTCGAAGGTCAGTGCCACAATACAAGCAACATTTAAGCAACAAGCTTTAAAAACTGATTTTCGTGTAGCCATTGCGCAGCCCTTATAGTGGTATCGGGCAAACAGTGTAGCTGTCAAATTTGGCACACGGCAAGCACGTGTATTGGAACTAAATGCTGGAAAGTGAACCTCTCTTAATAACTTCTAAGGTTTTATTTTTCCTTGTGATCTCTGTATTACTCTATCTAATAAAACCTATTAATATTCCAATCACCTCTCCAGCAATGACATCCAAATAGTCAAATGATGGACAAGAAGCAATTAAAGTGCCTAACGCGGAGATAGAAGTTTAAATTGAAATTATCTTGCAGTCGAAGGTCAGTGCCACAATACAAGCAACATTTAAGCAACAAGCTTTAAAAACTGATTTTCGTGTAGCCATTGCGCAGCCCTTATAGTGGTATCGGGCAAACAGTGTAGCTGTCAAATTTGGCACACGGCAAGCACGTGTATTGTGCACATGTATATCTCAGGACTAAATGTTTTTTGATAAGCAAAAAATACAAAAACATTGTTTTACGTTTCATTTTGGTCTGATGACATTCAACTGCAGATTCACTGTGGAGCAGTTCTATTTGATTGACGGAAGTGTAACATGGCCGCTGTTCGCTAGAGCCGGTATTGTTGATATGGGTTATATATGAAATCAAGATCGAGCTGGCAATACCGGAATCTAGAACCAAGGGTACATTTCATGTGACCTTGGCTATCAAAATGAGATTTTACATAAGAGTGCCACATACCTCAAACCATATACGTCCCCACACCGATACTCCCCCGCAACGGTACATCCCGCACGGATACTCCCCCGCACTGATACTCCCCTGCAGTATCGATGTGATCGAGGAAGCAATGGTGTGGGGGAGTAACGGTGCACAATTTTATAGGGGATGTATTGTTGTGGGGATCTACCGGTGTGGGGTCGTATTGATGCGCATAATACAAAAATTTACTAAGGGGGATTATTGGTGTGGGGGAGTATATCGGTGCGGGGGAGTAACGGTGTGGGGGAGTATCGACATGAACCCCAAACCAACACAGTAAAAGATGCAGGCATAGTAGAAATATAACATTAGGACATTTTCAAATGCATGCAGTGTATATGTTTTTCACCATAACTTACTTTTGATGTCAGGTTTTACAGCCTTTGCTGCAATACAAATCCCTGATATCATCCCCCCACCACTAATGGGAACAAGTATAGCTTCCAAGTCAGGAACCTGTTCCATCAATTCAATGCCAATACTACCCTAAAATCATATAATGCATAAAAATTAAAATTAGATGTACATATAAAGTAAAATATGAGGGTGAATTTTGAGTCATGAATCTGACCATAACAAAACACAACAGTATTATCTAAAATTGCTCCAATGTTGGAATACCAATGATATACAATTATGAATGTCCATAGATTTTTTGACAAACAGTTCCCTTTAATATAGGATATCAAACAATTGTCTCAGCACGACAAAGAATACATCTAAAACTTTTAAGAGGTTCTGTGGTGTTTTTATACAGAATCACAAACAATATGCACTAATATGGAACTAAATGCTGGAAAGTGAACCTCTCTTAATAACTTCTAAGGTTTTATTTTTCCTTGTGATCTCTGTATTACTCTATCTAATAAAACCTATTAATATTCCAATCACCTCTCCAGCAATGACATCCAAATAGTCAAATGATGGAATGATGGTCTGGTTTTTCTCAGCAGAAATTTTGGCACACGTTTCTTGTCTAAAATGTTATAAAACTTTTGAAATAAATCCAAATAACATTTTAAAGGAAACCAATGCTAAACATGAGACAAAACATACAGAAAAGAATGTGACTTTTTTAATAGGTAGAAGCAATAAAAACAAAATTGAAAGTACATACACCATTGTACAGTTAGAAAATAATGTCCAAAATTCTTGCAAGATTGAAGTGATATTTACTCAATAACGTAATAGCTGATACATGTATTTGTCAAACCTCACCTAGACATGGGGTTTGGCTCACAAAATACCAGGTCAGCACCATAGTCCTTGATTGCAGCAACTTTAACAGCAGGTGCGTTGCTTGGGATTACAACAGTACATTTCATACCTGCATACCTAGCTGCCCATGCCAAGGCTTGACCATGATTACCACTGCTATGAGTCACCTAAAATGTATAGTGAAATTAAGAAGAGTTCGTCACTTTGCACTAATCATTACATATGTGTACACTGTATTTTTTAAGTCAGCATAATGAATTTCATTGTTGAGGTAACTAAAATAATTTTGTTAAAATCAAAATCTACAGACATGGGTATCTAATTTATATTCTTAAAATATGCTTAAATGTCTTACATATTAAAATGTTTACACTCTTCACTTAAGCACAGGGTTTATAAAGTTAAAAGTTCATTGATTTGGTACTTCTAGTAAGTCAACAATACATGTACTTACAACACCACTGTTTTCAGGATTTTTCTCTTTTAATGACAACACCTGTAAAATAAAGAACCCTTGACACGCAGCACTGTGACCTTTTCTATTATTTATTTATTTATTTTATTTTTATTTTATTATTATTTTTTATTTTAATTTTTATTAATTTTTTGAAAGACTACTAGTATACGATGTACAAGGGCGTGTAGGTGAAGCAGAAAAACTTACAGCTACAGTAAGTATTCAATTTCACATAATTTTTGCATCTTATTTGCCATAATCAAATGATCTCTTACATCCTCTTATTTTAAATCCCACTGTCTCTCCAGTTGGGGAGAAAGGTAATAATAGTACGGTGGGAAATAACATGATCAGATTCAGATCTGATTGTGGATTAATTTAATCACTCACAGCATTCAAAGCTCCTCTTGCCTTGAATGAACCAGTCTTTTGTAGATGTTCACCTTTAAAATACACTTTCTTCTCTACCAGGCCATTTATGTAAGAACTAGAAAATATTGGTGTTTTGTGAATATGCGGGCTGATTCGTTCGTATGCTTCTGTAAGATGCCGGTACTCTATACCCAACTTCATTGCATGCACAACAGGAACAAAACAAAACAAAATCAAAACAATCCCACGTGGACATTTCCCTTTTCCGGTATTACAACGCATGCGTTAGAAGTGGGGGTGCCTATGTCAACGGTCCGTGTATGGCGGGGCAAAGTGATTTCCATTTCGTCAAAAAATGAAAAAACGGCCGTTTTTCATTTCCTTTTGATAGAAATGCCTAAAATGTAATGGGAAATGGAACTCAATTTTCGCTTTTCCATATAAAATGAAAAATGGAAAAACGGAAATTGCCCTTGTTTTCTATATTTTACTGTAACATGCAAAATACAATATCAACAGATTCCCGATGTGATAGAAAATATAAATATCGACTGTTTTCAGACTATAGAACCTTTGGACTAATGAACCTTTAATGAACCTTCGGACCATTGAACCTTTGGACTATTGCTATTGAATTTCACCCCAATTTCAATAATAATAAATAATAATAATAATATTTATTTTTAGTCTAAAATCCATATAAAATGTTCAGTAGACTTTACATGGGTAAAATGAACAGAATAAGATTACTAAAGTAAGTGAAAAGGTACGTAGTTAAAATAATAAGATATGAACTATAAAGATGTGAACTAAAATGTAATTGAATTGATGGACAGTTAGGATTTTAAGACATTAAAAATAAATTGTACAATGTAAAAGACAACAGCCAGTCAAAAAACATTTTGAAGATATAAGTTTTTAGTTCTTTTTTAAAATTGTCCTCAGACTCTATTATTGTTTTTAAGTAAATAGGGAGATCGTTCCATACAGTTGGTCCATAGCCTTGAAGAGCACAATCACCATATGGTCCTAATCTGGAATTACAAGGTGTGAATAAAAGCTGGTCGAATGATCTTAAGTACGTTTTGGAACAAAGCGTTGAACAAGTGTTTGTAGGTACGGGTGTGCTGATTGGTTAAAAATTGCATGCATATTTTAACTGGCTCCCAGTCAGAGCACTCATTTTATTTAAAATTTTAAAAAGAATTTAAATAAAATGAGTGCTCTGACTTGGGAGCCAGTGTAACTGCTTTAGAATGGGTGTGATATGAGCCTCCCTGGCTGTGTGGGTTAAAAAACGCACTAAAACATTCTGAATTTGCTGCAGTTTTTTCATTCGTTCGTTGGTACAAGCCACTGAGTACAGAATTGCAATAGTCTAAATGACAATGACACTTCTTCGACGTTAAATACCAACTCCAGTTGACCTTTTTTCTGTCTATTTCTATCATCAAATTCATTTAGATACTCGATCTTTTGCCTGGATCCATGTTGTCATTCAAAGTTCCAAAATTTATCGCATAAAAGTGAATTAGCTCAATATAGGCAAATGCAATTGTGAATCTTCTTTTTTTTCTTGACATGCTGTGGAAAGTCGCAACGAATTGGTGTATGGTATGTTGTGATAAAGATCTAATCTTTCGTCAGGGCTGGTTTTAAGGGAATGAATATGTTTGGCTCAACTATTTTACAGGGGCGCGGATGTGTTTGGCTCAACTATCACATTTGGCCTTGAGTTTGCCGTTACCATATTAACCCTGTTGCTTATAGAGCAAGACTCTGGAATGGTGAGGCCACTGGGGCATATATGTATATATTTACTTCCAAGACTTTTCTATTGATAAAGCATAAATTTTTCAATGGTTACCCACTGGGTTCTGATTTATGCTAAAACAGAAGCCAAAACAATTAAAAGGTGAAACCAATATGATATCACTCATTTTTCTTCATAAGAAATATATATTTTATTAATGTGACATTTAACTGTGTAAACAAGTACACATTACACATTTCAATAAATCAAACAATACAAATTTTTTAAAAAAATCTGTTACTTAAAAATCAATGGGCTGTCAATTTGGCAGCTGACATTGGTAGAAAGTGGCCGTAGCAATAGTTCAAAGGTTCAACAGTCTGAAGGTTCATTGATCTGAATGTTCACTATAGAACCTTCGGAATAATAAATCCTTGATTAATAAACTGATGAAAATGTTACCAATTTTTTGGAGCAATGAACCTTCGGACTATCAAGACACCACCGGGAGAAACCATGTTGATTTTTGAAATGCCAGTATAAAGAAACCCATACAACATGGCTACTGGCCAGTATGGTCTTTTAAAGTGGACATCAGAATGTTGACCTTACATGCATTCATTGTGTAATAAAACCAAAAGTGAAGAGCACATTTTTATCTAAGATGGCATACCATCACACTGTCATAAAAACTTACAATCAATAAAAGCTTCTATGCAACTCCCTACAATACATTTTTCAGAGTTCGCTTTACATTGAGCAAGTATCTGAGATATTTCACAATTCAAAACATTAAGTTGGCGATTAACATTAACTTATAAAAAATACTGATCTTCTCTGTTTATCAAAGGGACTAAAAGAAGTATATATATATATATATATTTTGATATTTTGAATAAACATGCCCCCTGAGGATCGGACGTAACCATAGGGTATGTCTGTGAAACTTGGAGTAGAGGTATTTAATGTGCTTAGTTAATTTTAATTATAATGTTTAAATTCACCATCAATAGATATGCTTAGATTTTTTATTTCATCCAAGGCAAGTGCTCAATGTCAGTATTCCCTCCACAGAGAATGACACCCACTTTCTTCATGTCGGGTGTCAGTATTTTCATCTTGTCAGAGAGAAGAGCAGCCACACCCACACCTGAGCTGGGCTCAATCACTTGCTGAAAATTATACAGGAAATCAAGTTTAAAAAGTTGTAGTTAGATTATACTGTGGAAAATAAACAGAATTTTGGAAAATTCAATTAGATAATATCTAGTTTCACAAATTTCATTCATAATAAAAAAATACTTCCAAAATTTAATATTCTTTTACTTCTGAAATGAATGTTCAGCATACCTTCATTCTCTGATACACTAACTTCATGGCTTTTATGATGTCATCATCACTCTGAATTAAAATTAAACAAAAAGATACAGTGTGCTTAAAGCAATACTGATAAAATTAATACAATGGATCTTGGCACTCTAGGAGATTGTCTATTACTTTTTATGAAAGTACATTTCATTTTCTGTTTCAGATCATCAATTTCCCATGGAAAAACACAAAATAAGAGGGCATTCAGAACAAGTTCATCTGCAGACTAACAGACCTGGAGATCAAATATGGCCAACCTTCACTAAAGCAGAGTCAACTTATTATTGGTTGATGGTCTCCCTGCCTCCACATGCGCTGTCCCTGCAGGGGTCTTGCAATTAAACCTTGAAGTCGTTATTTAATCCATTTAATGGCGCATTCACTCCCTTGTAATGGATTTAGTTGGCTTTGCTTTTATGTGGGTCCACCATATTTGATCTGCGGATCTGTTAGTCCACAGATCAACTTGTTTTGAATGCCTTCAAAGGCCGCATTCACATCGAGTTGAGCCATGGCTCTACAAAGCCACGACCTAAATATGGCGGACGTACATGAAAGGAAAACCGCCTAATTTTTTAATAGTCTCTCCGCCTCTCACACGCCTCCCCATGCGTCGTCCCTGCGGGGGTACAGTCATTAAATCTCGGCTCCATTGGGACGACACATGGGAAGGCGTGTGAGAGGCGGAGAGACTATTAAAAGATAAGGCGGTTTTCCTTTCATGTACGTCCGCCATATTTAGGTCGTGGCTTTGTAGAGCCATGGCTCAACTCGATGTGAACGCGGCCAAAGAAGTAAATTGAGAAATGAAATGGCATAGATCATTTGCAAACTAGTGATAATACACAACTACATTTGTAATACTGTGGACATTGTGGATTCAGGCATGAAACAGCTTCTGAAAAACACAGCAATAAAAATAATAATAAATATAATAATACCATTTTTTTTTTCAGAAACACTTCTGTGTAGTTTGTTTGTGAATATAAAAGACAAGGGCACTTTAAAAAGATAATATGAAATAAATGAGATTTATTATCCCCATGCCCAGTAAAGGCTACTGCTACAAAGCATGAAGATCTCAGACTTCCAATGGATGAGAGCCTTATGACCTAAATGATCAATATTATTTATACTCACAGTTGTGAAAACTTCTTTTTCTACCAATTCCAAAACCACTGGAAAGGTCAGTGTTCCCAGTCTCTGCACCCTCAGGCCATCAGCAATGGTATCTACAAACTTGGGTGGATCTGGCCACATTGGTTTACCTGCCTTAAGGGAATACTCCAGGTCTTTGCCTTTAGGCTCACATGCAAAAACTGAAAAAAAAACCCAACATATTTGTGATAAAAGCCCTACAGAAAAACAATACACAAATAAAACTGAACATCTGGCCCTTCCATTTGCAATTTATGTGTCATTTCATGGGACCTTGGCTATCAAAATGAGATTTTATATAAGAGTGTCACTTCAATCCAACACAGTTAAAGATGCAGGCATAGTAGAAATATAACTTTAGGACATCTCCAAATGCATACAGCATATACTTCTGACTATAACTTACTTTTGATGTCAGGTTTTACAGCCTTTGCTGCAATACAAATCCCTGATGTCATCCCCCCACCACTAATGGGAACAAGTATAGCTTCCAAGTCAGGAACCTGTTCCATCAATTCAATGCCAATACTTCCCTAAAATCACAAAATGTATAAAAAATAATTCAAATAAGATGTACATATAAGGTATGACTTTGAGGGTGAATTTTGAGTCATGAATCTGACAATAACAAAGCACATCAGTATAATCTAAAATTGCTCCAATGTTGGAATACTAATGATATACATTTATGAATGTCTAAAGATTTTTTGACAAACAGTTTCCTCTAATATAAGATATCAAACAGTTGTCTCCAACATGACAAAGAATACATCTGTAAACTTAAGACGTTCTGTGGTGTTTTTAAACAGAACTACAAACAATATGCACTAATATGGAACTGAATGCTGTGAAAGTGAATCTTTCTTCATAACTTCTAAAAAGGTCTCTTATCTAAGGTTTAAATTTTCCTTGTGATTTCTGTATTACTCTATCTAATAAAATCTATTAAAATTCCAATCACCTGTCCAGCAATGACATCCTGATGGTCATATGGTGGAATGATGGTCTGGTTTTTCTCAGCAGAAATTTTGGCACATGTTTCTTGTCTAAAATGTTATAAAACATTTGAAATAAATCCAAATGGCATTTTAAAGGAAACCAATGCTAAACATGAGACAAAACATACAGAAAAGAATATGACTTTTTTAAAAGGTAGAAAGTACATTTACCATTGTACAGTTAGAAAATATTTTAAACTTAATATGTGATATTTGCTACACCTCACCTAGATGTGGGGTTTGGCTCACAGAATACCAGGTCAGCACCATAGTCCTTGATTGCAGCAACTTTAACAGCAGGTGCATTGCTTGGAACGACAACAGTGCATTTCATACCTGCATACCTAGCTGCCCATGCCAAGGCCTGACCATGATTACCACTGCTGTGAGTTACCTAAAAAGTATAGTGAAATTAAGATGAGTTCACAACTTTGCACTAATCATTACATATTTTTAAGTCAGCATAATGACTTTGATTGCTGTGGTTACTACTATTTTGTTGAAATTAAAATCTACATACAAGGGGGTATCTCATTTATATTCATAAAATATTCCTAATTGTCTTATATATACACGTTTTCACTCTTCACTTTAGCACAGGGTATATAAAGTTAAAAGTTTATTTATTTGGTACTTTTATAAAGTTAACAATACTTACAACACCACTGTTTTCAGGATTTTTCTCTTTTAATGACAACACCTGTAAAATAAAGAACCCTTGATGTGCAACACTGTGACTCTGTTTTTTTCTACAGTAAATAGTAATAGTAATAAGTACTGTAGTACTATATAGCTCAAGCAAAAAACAATTACAGGTAAGTTTTCTTGCAATTTTACATAATTTTTTGTAACTTACCAGTATTTGCCCAAATCAATCATCCTCTTATTTAAAATCCCACTGTTTCTCCAGTTGGGGAGAAAGGTAATAATGATAGGGTGGGGAATAACATGATATGAAACTGATCAGATGTGGATTTAATCACTCACAGCATTCAAAGCTCCTCTTGCCTTGAATGAACCAGTCTTTTGTAGATGTTCGCCTTTAAAATACACTTTCTTTTCTACCAGTTCATCTATGTAAGAACTAGTATATATTGGTGTTTTGTGAATATGCGGACTGATTCGTTCGTATGCTTCTGTAAGATGCCGGTACTCTATACCCAACGACATTGTATGCACAACAGGAACAGAACAAAACAAAATCAAAACAAACCCACGTGGACTTTCCCCTTTTCCGGTATTACGACGCATGCGTTAAAAGTGGGGATGCCTATGTTAACGTCGTTTTCATTGGACGGTAGAAAAATAGGGCGATTTATCAAAAGTGAATTTTGTCTTATTTTGGTCTTTTTTAAAAATTCAACTTTATAATATCGGTGTAATTGATAATAGATATACTACCTCTTTTCCCATAAGCTCACAATGTTTTAATTAAGGGTTTGATACGAAGATTAATGATTTTGACCAACCAAAAATTAGAGCCAATCACACGGAAGAAGAAATGAGTACGCTAGGCTTGACTGGTTCATGTTCAAAACTGGGATGATCGTGACGAATACACGGGTGCTCTTCCTAATGGAAGTTTTTAAACTATGATGCCGCTGTCTTATTGGACCGGGAATACATTTAAAATGTAGGAGACTCTGTGGAAGTTATAACATTTGATTTCTGACTATTTTCCAGAAACATTATTAACTTTTTGGTAATCTTTGTTGGAATTGCCAAACTTTTTATTCCAGACATAAGTGACAACCCAGGGAATAACCTAACTTTGTATAATACAACATAGGATTATAAGCGCACGCGTGCGATGCAAGTATGGAGACGACTCCTGTAAAAGTTTTAAGAACTGGATCGCTGAAGAGGAAGAGTAAAGTTGTGGATGTCAGTCGCAGGGTATGTACTTTGTTCTCTTTTACAGCCTGTTACAATATTGTCAAAATGACTGTTTCATGTTTGAAGTCCAAATCATTGAACCGCTTCTAACCTGTGGCAATGAAGTGTGGCACCTTGTGGGCACATAAAAATTGCTCAGAGAACATAAAATAAAACAGACGAAACTGTAACTAGTGCTGTATCCATTTAGGCATATAATAGTTTCTACTACAGTTGGCATGTAATACATTAACATCTGTTTGGCTTTTCACTATGATCTACTGTGTAAACTTCATGGGTTATTGATTGTTGGTAAATTTGACATATTTAAAATATATGCTGGTCCACATGGTAGTTGAAACCAGACTTTTCTGAAATCAAATTGAATTCATTAGAGTGTTTGTAAATCTTGAGTATAAAGTTTACTCAGTTTAGTGATAAGTTCTAATGAAGTCTTGTTAGTCTTTGTAATTAAAGACGACATACACACACTTTATCAATAATCACAACAATCACACACACACACGTGCATGCACACACACACACACACACCCTTCAGAATTATAACTATATATGAGACAAGACCAAACCATATTTTTATAAAAACCAACCAGGTTTTGGAAGATTACATAACTCTGCATAGAAAATGCTGAACACCTGGAGAGCCCAGCTATTTATCATTGTCACAAGTAAACTGAAGGATTTTTTTTATCAGCATGCTGATGCCAATAAAATCTTGGTTATTAAGTCATGACCTTTCAGATGGATTTTAATAATGATAATATGACTGATGCCTGACCAGCATTCAAATATCTGGAATCTTGGACCAATTAACACAGTCATCAATGTGCTTTGTCATACCTGATGATTCTCCATAGCTATATGAAAGTCAGGTAAAAAAAAAAAAAAAAAAAATATATATATATATATATTTATAACTTATAAAATATTTTTAACTTTTTGGGTGCCAAAATGCAAATATAAAAAGCTTTGTTTTTCAGATGATGCCATATAAGGTAGACCCACATTTTCATTTCATTCATATTTTATAAATATCTATATATCTGTGTACACTGAGGCCCCCTTCAATATTTAGACTTGCAGTCTTAATTTATTCAGTCAAATTAATTTCTGGTATTATTAAGGAATTTCCTTATGTACTCTATTGATCAGCTACGGTCTATAAGCAAGCATAGTAAGTCTGGACTGGAGATGCTTTTATGCTTAACCTATTAAACAGAATAGACTAGGAGATGGAAATCACAATGAATAGAGGACGGAAGTGTGCAATCTGAAGATCGCAGCCTGTATGAGATTAGATTTCAGGTTCCAGAGACTCCAATCTTATACTCATAATCAAATTATGAAATCATTTCTTATTATGTAATTCTGCTTCCCTGGGAGGAGGTTTGTTTATATTGACATTTGTCCTGAAGTGTTTGGCAATGGTCGGTAATGTTGTCATTGTGTGACCTGTGAAGAGGTACATTTTTTTTCTACTGTCACAGGAGTCTGTGCAGGTGCACTGATAAATAGCATTACGCTGTGTGCATGTAGTTCTACCACTTATAAACGATACTTCAGTCAGCATCTTAACAGGTCAACTCTCTGCTCGACTTAGTAATTAAATTAATGCAGTTAATTTAAGGTGTAGTTAATGTCCTGGCATACCTTTTTAATCAGAGGTGAAAATAAATGAGAATTGTTAATCGCTGCACATTTTTGTGTGGGGATGTCATCAAGTTACATCCTTTTATGTATTTTGCGTAGTACATTCCAGGGGACAATCCAGTGACAGGTATTTTTATAATGACCAAAGAGGAGGGTCTACATTTTTGTGGAATCAGCTTATTTACAGGTTTTTCCACTCTAAATTTATCCTATAGATGTCCTCCATTGTGAAACATCCACGGCTACAGGATATCTCGTTCACTGTAGAAGAAGTTACCTATTGTTAAAAGCAGTTATCAGTATCTGATAATCTCCAAAACCCTCAGTGACCTCTGAAATTAATATTATCAATATGTATAAACTCTGCCACATGGCCTAAAACTTCAGCAGAAATTCACATATAATTGGTTGTATTATTATGTCTTTGGTTAGTAAAAAAAAAAATGACTTATTTTATCTTGCACTTTGATTTGTGTCAGGTATTTACAAATAAGAAAAAAAACCTATATTATTGATTACATGCTCAATTGCCACAAAAAGTTTTTTTTTCTTCATTCTGAATGTGACATTGTCTCCAGGACAGAGTGTCTCTACTGTTCATCACCAGGTAGATCTCAGTTGTTTGGTAGTCTGAGGTCTAACAGGACCTCAGCCGTGCCTCACAAATAATACCTTACTTACCAAAGCCATTGACAGAATAATTACATGAGATCATGTGAGCTTTAGCATGTCAACCTGTTAACACGGTGAAAATTGACCAAATATGACAAAACCAGAGAAATTAACAGACATGTTATGAGTAATTGACAGAATAAGAGGAGTCTGCCTTCAAACACCCAGACAAGAGAAATGGAATTTATGTCTGGGAAAGCAGAAAAATTAGCTAACATATTATATCATAGGTGATAACAGTTGAGTAAGAATGTCTTCATAGTGGAAATTTGTGCATTGCTATACCATCCTACAAGTACTTGTATCTATAGAGACCTGTCTATCTTATGAATGGAGGTGAAAATTGAGAGTTGTACATAATGATATTAGGGGAGTGCACTGATGTGAGATGTTTGGAGATCATACGTTAACCAAACACAATGTTCACTTCCTCAAGTAAAAGAAGCATCTGTTTGCAGAGGGATGATCAAAGTGAGAGTTTGATGAACAAAATATATGAACCATGAAAACAGATTGTGCAGTATACATATATAGTTTGTATGCATTATATCTTAGGGGAGCTTCAAAGTAGGAAACTGCTGTATAGTACTGGTAGAGTAGCCGATGTTTAGTTTATGTTCATTTTGAATACCAAATATTTTAACCCCATGTGCTAGATCAATTGGAAATAAAGCTTACTATTCCAGGTGTGATTTTTTTAAGGGTTTCAATTGTCTTTGAAAATGGAGAATATGTCATAGTTCTTCCAGAATTAAAGGAGATTCCCCAAGGCACTCGACGGATAAGGATAGTATTTCTTTTCTACAACCTGATCCTTGTTACCTTTTATCTGTGAAGCTTATGTCTATGTGTGTGTAAAGTCTATTATGTTGAGATTGGTTTAGGAAGAGCAGATTGTATATGTGTGGTCTCCTTGGGTTTGCTTAAAACTGACCACTTCAGAGATCTGTTACATTGCCTTACCCAATGCATGGCGCCCACAACACATATTAATTACAGAATCAATCCTGGCGAAAACCTGTATCCAAGAAAGCGTGAACCCAAGTGATGTTGGACACAGGTACTAGTACATCACATACACTCGACCATTTCACTAAATGATGTTGCCAGTTAAAGACTTCATCGAATGCACCCACTAGACATTAGTATTTAACCTTTTCTATAATTAATGGCCATCCAGGTATTACAAATGTTGCGTGATTTATGTTGGATGTGTCAGCACTGGTGTGAATAATTCTTGTGATATATAATTTATTATTATGTCTTGTGTTCTGACCTGGGTATTCAGCAGTTTGGGGTGTAAATGTGATGCATTTGCATCTGTTTTCATGGAAATACAGGGAACTAGAAATTAATAAGATTAGATATTGTGAACCTTTATTTATGTTTGAATTGGTTTTATGCATCATTTATTGGAAAGTGGCGTGACTTTGTTGAATCAGATTTAGTTATCATAGAAATGGCAAAACTTTAGTGCAGCATTTATTGGAAATACTAGCAAGATTTTGTGAAATGTTATGTAAAACTGTACATTTTAGTGAGTAGAAAATACAACCAATTGTTGTACATATCATCAGTTTGATGAAGACAAAATGAGAAGTCCAGAATTACATAGATTTCTTCATTTGCATGTCTTTCCTTACTTTTAAACCTGTTTTGTATTGAACCATGCCACTTGGACTTGGAAGGGTGGATAACAGAATAGTGAATACATTACAATATATGTATTGGGAAAAATCCCAGGTGAAATCCCTAGTGCAAGGGAGGTGGCTGATTTTAATTGTAACTACAGATGAGGTGAAAGAAGGCTTATCCTTCTGAAGTAGACTTCATTGCAACCCACTTTCTACTGGGATATATATTGTACTGCAGATACAAAGCTGAAGGCAGCATTGTTAGACTGTCAAAGAAGTGCTGTTTGCAGAACAGGGAGCATAACAGTCTGAATATTTTTTCCATTTCCTGCTGGATGAATCAGAACTACAATAAGCAACTTTGGTGAACATATGTTGG